ATAGATAGATCTTCAACATCTTCCAAAGAATGAGAACAAGTTATCTTAGGAATGTTACCCACATGTAACTGTTCCTACAATGCAAGTGTGAAAAGCTACACTTCCCCTTCTAGAGCTGCCATATGTGGACAGGACTGGTTATCCAAGAGGTGAGGTTATAGGGCTGTGAATAAACATCAGACAGCTTTTAAAACAAAGCATCTCTGAAAGAGAATACCTAAGGATGAAAGACTTTGCTTGGGTGAACTACAAATTAAGGAGTAGGTGGGCAGTTTTTCTGTAAACTAGAGTAAATCGTGTAATGATTTTCTCTAGGAAGTATTTCCTTCCAATACAACTTACTGGGACTCTACAAGTGAGCAGTCTTATAAGGATCAAAGACTGATGATCCCTTTAGGACATCCTCACATTTCACTTTCCCAATCACTTGTTTGAGGACATGGAGAAATACACGAGAAGTGATAGAGCCGCTCTGCAGTCAGCTCTGGAGCTCCTCTCAGGCAGAACAGATCACTTGGAACAGGCACTGAATCTGCTGACGTTTAGGTCATTGAGGTAGTAAAAGTAACTAGTAAAAGTTACCAGTAAGAATTCTGTGGTAGGATAACAACATGCTTATAAAGGATTAGTACTTGTTCTGAACACCAGCAAATTTTTGTTAATTTAGTTTTCAGTTGTTATTTCACAGACATTTGCAGTCTACTCTTTGCACTTGCTAGACTGGAAGTATCCCATCTTCTGAGTTCCTAACCTCAGACCTCAGCTTAGAGAATTATATTCTGGGGAGGCAATCAGCATGACCAGCTCCATACAGTATCTTATCTGCAGTGTGTCTGGTATGGTACTGCGGCCCATCATAGTGTCTGGGAAGCAATATGGTAGGTCCTAGAGCTGTCAGGATGGAGGGATGCTGAAAAACTTCTGCACATCAGTAGAAGTTCAGTTGGTTTCTGAGGTGAAATTAGGGATGTAGGGAAAAGATTTGATCAGATATGTTTTATAAATAACCTCTGGGAAGAATAACTAATTGTGTTTAAAACATCTTACACGATATTGCATCTGTACTTCCCTACTGGAAGTTTTCTTAATAGACATTTATTTTTTTATCTTAATAGACATTTTTTCTTAATAGACATTTAAATTAAGAGCTGTAGACCTTGGAAGAATTACTTAGGAAATCCTGTGTGCATGAGCATGATGAAAAATACACTGATGACAAAAGTCACCATTCTAATACACAAAGTAAGTTTCCACAGACCAGATTGCAAAATGTAGCAAAGTTAAGGGCAACTAGACATTCATTGAGGGAACATTCTCGAATGATGATGGAGTTGCTGCAAAGTCCTGACTGATTTCTGTGTATACTTGAAATTCCTTTAACAGTCTGAGCTGTTGTCTCTGGTTTTCCAATCAGCTAGCAACTCTGTCTTCTCTGGCCATAAATTGGATTCAATACCAGAATTTTTGTTTGGGATTCATCCAGTCTGAATAGCACTGACAGACTGCTGCTTGAGCAATTTTTCATAGCCTGAAAAGTCCATTTAGCAATTCTCCTTCCTTTCTGACTGTAGTGCTTCAAGCTGTATAGTACAGTGCATCAGCATGTCAGTACTCTGCATCACACGTGAATGTGTTTATCAGCAGAGCTTCCCTGCCTAAGAATTCACTTTAAATAACACATAAACTAAAGTAGATAAGTGATGTGACATAGTCAGGGTCATAGTCACCTCTCTTTAAGGATCACAATGGTAGCCTTTTCTGAAAGTCCAAAGGAAAAAAAATCCAGAAAGTTCTAAATAGTTACAACTTGAGAAGCAGCGAATAGCAAAAATGTACAGTCTGGCTTAGTTCTCCTTTTTCATGTGCATTGTTTGTGTTATGATGTGTTTCAAAGAGGAAAGTTAGTTAGAAAGGAGAACTTGTGCTTTTGATTTCTTTCTTGAGAGGAAGTATCACTTCTAAGTAAATATCAATCTACACTAATTTTGAAATCCAAATAGCCATAGTAAAATCTTGGCAATTAATTTCACTGTTTTTCCTAGGGGTTGCAGCAGATGGAATGTACCACTGTAGGCCAGCTTTTGGCCCTTGGTACCTGGCACTGCGGTGTGTCATGAGCCTCAGCAGATTTTACCTGTGTCAAGATGGTAAGAGAATGTTTTGATTTTACAAATGCAAAAACAGAAACAGAAATAGAAATAATATTTTGCCAAAATAGCAAATTAGCAGTACTACAAGTTGAGTCAAGTTTTCAAAGCCTAATGCCACTGTAGTCTCCTTTCCCTCATTTTGCTCATAGCTACAAGATAATCAGTTTTAAAGTCAAAGGCAGAGAGTACTTCTAGCATATTATTTGCTTGATATCTTTTCCTACAGCCCAGCAAAAGCTGGGGACAGCTGTGTAGAAAACATGCTTCCCACCAGATGATGGTCTTGAACATATTTTTGGAAAACAGGAATCCTGAAAATGTGTTGGAAGAGTAAAACAAGAATGAGTTATAATCCCTATAGTCTAATACCTGTGCAAAGGTAATCCCACTTTTGGTCTGTCTCAAATCCAGCATAAGAAGAAAAAAAAACAATATTGTATTTTATTTTAAAAGCCTATAATCACTTCTTTTTGCTGTGCTTTCCCTGGGTTCCTTTGCAGGAAGAAACTGCAGATGTTTCAGATGTGAAACATAAAATACCTGCTTTTCTTGTGCTTAAGTGTCAATCCCAATGGTGTATCACAAGCTATTTGTTTACTTGCTTGTCTGCATCTGGAGGGAACTATCCCATGGACATGAGTTCTTTTTTTGCCCACAAAAAGGAATCTACCATACAGGCTTTGTTTATCTAACTTTGTAAAAGATAAGGTGCTTCAGGTCAAAGATTTGAAGAGATGGGCAGAGAATTACAGTTTATGTTCACTTTCTTCTTTTAATACATGGCTTACTATGTTGCTTGAATCTCCCACCAGGAAGAAGACTTCTTAGTCAGAAGTGCTGCCTAGAGACACCTTGAATATGACTGATGATGCCAAAAAAACCTTCTGTAAACCTCCATATCCAAGAAGCTGAGATTGGGACTGCCTCTCTTCCCCATGCTGCAGAACGCACACTGATGTTTGCTGTGAGAGTAAGGTTCCCAGCTTTCTGGAGGGCAGACCTTCAGCATATGCTCTTCTGCTCCTCAGGATGGTAATGTACAAGTGTAGACATCTGATTCAGTACAGGTCTGTGTTGATAGAAGATTTTTTTCTGTGCTACTCTGAGTGAGTAGGACCGTATTCCTGCTCGTACTTCAACAAATGTTCTCTCTTCTGTTTTGAGTCAATGTAGGCAGCAACTTTAATAGTTAATACTTTTAAAAAAATATTCCTTATACATTTTTAACTGAAACATGAATGTGCCTGAAAAATCTAAGGGGTCTACTTTCCCATGAGGAAAATAAATTGCAGATTATATACCTACAGTTTGAACTTGTTACCCACCTGCACTACCAGCCAAATTGTACTGCCATGTAATATTTGCTTGTTTTTCCTATCTTTTCCATCTATTTCATGTTACTGAGCATAAACATTAACATCCAGAAGAAGCATAAAATCATTTTTCTTCTACAAAGATTTTAGATCTTAACCAGAATTGACAGTTATGTACTTATAACTTTTATAATCATTTAGCAAGTTCATCTCAGTGCAAGGTTTCTAGCTAGGTTGAATTACTGATCCAACTTCATACGTGTCTGATGAAAAGAAGTGATGGCAGTGTTCAAGGAAGTGAAACCGCTGAGCAAATAACGAAAAAAATATTTGGGTATTTGAATCCTTATCCCATAGTTGGCCTACATTCTTGTTTAGCAGTCACACAGTAAACTGGATGTTAAAGATTCTACCTATAAGCCTTGAAACAGCCCTAGAAATTTTGCTCCTGTTTTTATTTTAAAGCTGTACATTTTGCTATAGCAATCAGATACTTAAAAACATAGAAGGAAAAAAAAAATAGCATAAAGAGAATTGTCAGTAATAGGTAATTGTTTATTTACCCACTGCCATCTTTATAACTTCTTTTATGTGTATTTTCAAATATAAACAATACCTAAACATAAGCTGCTGCAACAGATCACATAGATCAGTAAATAAAAACTTCTAAATAAAATTAAGGAAAATGAATCAGATTTAAGAAGCAGCTATTCTGGGCTGCACTAAGTCAAGTATTGCCAGCAGGTGGAGGGAGGTGATCCTGCTCCTCTGCTTGGCATTGGTGAGGCAGCACCTGGAGTGCTATGTCCAGTAGGGCTCCCCAGTACAGGAGAGACCAGGACATACTTGAAAGAATCCCAACATAAGGCCATAAAGATGATGAAGGGTTGGAGCTGAGAGAGCCAGGGCTGTTCAGCCTGGAGACTTGTCAGTGTCCGTAGATACCTGAATGGAGGGGGTGCTCCAGGGTTTGCCCAGTGCCTCTTGTCCTGGCACTGAGTGCCACTGAAAACAGCCTGGGCTTTCTACCTGGTTCTCGTTTGGCTTTTCTGAAAGAATTTATTCACAACCTAATCTCTAATTCTGCATTGGAAGCTCCAAGTTTTAATCTATCCCTCACGTGAGGATGTGTTCTGTGTTAGAGCTTTTGGTACTGCTCTGATTTAGCAGTGACCTTGGTGGGCCCACTGGTGTGGCCACACTCCAACTCTACTGGGAGACAAAGATATTGCTATAGTAATCCTCTTCGATATCATGTTTTTTCAAGTGACCACGTTGCTGATTTGGTGAATTGTCTTTTAATAATGCTTGTAAGAGTTGTGTTGTTTGGTCATTTTGTATTTGTTCTTGGAAGTGTTATTTAAAGGCTAACTCAAATGAGGAAATACCTCTGCTATTGCAGGCCAAAGTCTCTCAACTTTTTTTTTCACTTCATCTTTTTGATGCTGACTGAGTGAATCTTTTATTTTAGATAAAGTTCACATTTTGCTCAAACCTCCTTTAAGCATCTTCAGTTGCAGGTATAAATCTTTTTAAGGAGATCCTACCTGGAGTGAGAAAGATTATCTTGGGTGCTATGGCTTCTGATGTCCATGCATCGCTTAACCTCATGCTGAAGGAAGATGTGATAGCCAAGTAGAACCACCAGGCCTTGCTCCATGAAAAAGACAGAGAGGATCTAACTAGGAAGATATGACTGACATTTATGGAAAAATGGGATCTGTATTTGAACACTTTGTTTCCCCAGTACTGTTTAAACTCTGTGGCAATAAACCTCAAAATATGAAAGATAGCAAGCCAACAGGGACCAAGTACTTATCTGGTAAATCAGATTTTTCTTTTCGTATTGTTAAAGATTTACTTTTGTTTATTGCATTGTAAAAGTGCAAAGTGCATCAGTGGGGGGCAGGCAAGGAAGAGACGAGAGCAGAATGTAGTCCAAGAGCAGCTACAAACAGATCCACCCATTCAGGTTAGCTCTCCAATAGTCATTTATATAGTCAGTCCATAATAAAACTTAATCTTTGATATTTCTGCAGAACAAGAAATGTAAAGTAGATCAAGGACTACAGTAAAGTCAGTTTTTGTCTACTGACATCTCAACCATTGATAATCTGAGCAGCATTTGTTCACAAGCCATTCTGACAACTCATGGTGAGAATATCACTCACCTTTTTCAAGCATGTGTGGGAAGAACATTTTCTGTTGTAAATTCCAGCTGCCTATAAGCACAAAAATTACAATATCTGTAGCAGACTGCTGCATATTTAATGAGAGGAAGTACTTAATGACTTAAGAAGCTGGATTCAAGAACTGTGAGGTTCTTAGTGGGCAGAAGGAGAGATAAAAATGTGAAGTCTTTAAAATTGTGAGGTTGTAAACTCACTTAACTTTTAAGTCTTATCCATCAGAAGATTAATGTTGTATATAATGGAAAACAGAAGTAGTGTTGGGACAATCCTAACATGGCCCATCCTATGTGAAACAGAACTTCAGCTTAGTTATATTATTCAGAATGAATTTAGAAAACAATTCTAAAAGGATAATGAAAGAATAATTAGTAGAATATACAGATAGTCCTGTAAACCTGATGGAAGAAAGTTGGGCTGCAGCACAGGGCTGTGTGTGAAGTTTTTCCTCTCCTATAACACAGTATTGGGCATCACTTCTAAGGGCATTTCTGAGAATACATGAAGAAATGCTAATGAAAAAAATAGATAGCTCATTAGTGGAAAAATACTGAACTGGAAGATCTTAGTGCTGTTCTTACATTCAAATTAATGCCAAGAAGTCATATTTATAGAATATCATGGCAGGTAGCCTGGGGTTACATAAGCTGGGACCGTATAGAGTCTGCTTTTAATTAAATCCCTGAAATGCTTGTAAACACATCCATTGCTTCTCATTTTTGTAATACTCATGCCTAAAATCTGCATTCAAAGATCATGATCCTGTAATGCCTGGCTCTGCGTCTGTCACAAAACTTGGATTAATCTGAGACATGACAGAAGGAAACCAAAGTATAGCAGAATAAGCACTAGTCTTCATCCATCACATGTTCAACTATTGCCACTATTCTCTAGATTTTGTAATTAGGAGCAGAGCTTAAAGAAGTAGCTTCAAAGATATATGTTTATCAGGAAATGACTCAAACTATTAGATTAAACTTCCTTTCAAGCAAATTTTTTTTCTAAGTTTCTTTTTCAAATCTGTTCATTTTCAGATCTATGTTCAATGACTTTTACTTAGCAAAGACAACACAGGTCAGGAACAGACAGACACCAGCAGGTCCTGAATGAGGATCTCTAAAATATCTGGTTGAGAAAGCCTCAGATTTCCTCCACTTGTAAAGTGCATCATTTACATCAATTTTGCAGTGCTTCCAATGTCCATTGGTACGTTCTGCTTGTTCCTTTTGCTGTAGGGCAGCTTATCTTCATTTTGAATCAGCAAAAACTGAAGCACAGAAGCAGGTGCTCACCTAGGGAGTTTAGGCACTTCTCAGCTGTCTCACAGCCTCCTGTTTTCTTTACACTCTGTCTCTAAGACCATCATTAGAGATTAGTCCACTAGATGAACTACTACTCTGATTTGTTCCAGCAATTCTTTTCTGCTGTTTCTAAGCAGCTATGGCTGTTGTGCACAAAGTGGGCAACTTTTTTTACTGCAGTTATATGAATTGGAATTACAGTAAGCAGCTGAACTCCTTTGTTCTCCAAATTTTCATTCTTGAGGTACATTGATTACACTAGGGGATTACAGCCACAGAAACTGATGAAGTTTGCCTACAGGACTCATAAAGGAGCTTGAGATTTGTGGGGTTGTTCTGTATGTTGCAAGATTAACAATCCTTTTGACTGTTTGTAGGAGTTTTCCTTGCAATGACTGTATTACAATCATTATCTGTTCTAGGTTAACATGTTCCCCCAGAACCTGGTGGAAGTGGAGCTAAAGGAAAAAGGCTTACACAGATCAGCAGCTGCTTTGCTTATAGGACCTGCTGCTGCCTTGTGAGGAAGCCAACTGTTACCAAGCAGCTGACCAAAAGCTTGCAAGTCCTGGATACCACTGACTTGATCAAATCTCACTGCTTTCCTTCCCCCTTCAAACTCTGGAACTTTGTTATAAGCTATCACTTACAAGAAGCATTTGCTCACTAGAGGATAAGTTCTTTTTTAAGCAATTTCTAACTCGTGTAGGTCTTTGCATAATACAAAATTTGAAAAATAGGTAAGCAGGGTTGCATTTCCACATGGAAGCAACGATAGGATTGCAGAAGGAACACTCATTAGGTACGTTAGTTTTCATCTTTGTCTTATGACAGACAGGCACCAGCAAGGTGTGACTCAGTCTGAGATTCAAAAGATGAATAAACACTGTCTGCCAAATGTTGGTACCAGCAAACTCCGAAAGTCATGTGTAAACCAGACAAGTTTTATGATGTGTAGAGCACCATGCTTGTCAGTTTGGATCAAGGGCAAAAGCCACTTGCAGAAGGTACCAAATTATTTGTTTTGGCAGTTTTTAAGCATATGAAGAATAGTTTCACTTCTGTTTGAGCAAATGGAGCCCCAAGGTAAGAGTGCTTGCATGCTGCCTGCTTATTCTTTCCAAGGGACTGCTTAACAGTTTGACTTTGGGACAGATTTGAACCAGGAAAAAAATGGGGAATTCTGGGGAACACCAAACCTTGTTCTGCCAACTCTCAAGTAGTTTCAGTTTCCAAGTGGATAAATTGTTCTGTTCCTACAAAGCAGCAAGTGCAGGCTCTTCTTAGCTGTGGTAAGTGACAGGTACTAGAGTTTGTTGTACAGGGCTGCTAGAGGGAAGCTTCCTCTTAGTTTTCCTCCTTGGAATTCCCCTAAGCCTCTAACGTTTCAGCTGTGAGTTGCCTGGCTTGTTTCCTCCTTATTTCTATGAACCCTCAGTAGTGAGAGCAGCTCTCCTGCTGTGCTGGTGCTGAATCCAGATTGAAGGAACAGGAACCACCTGCTTTCCTAAGGTCAGTTTTTCTTCAATTCTCAATTGCTATGCTTTTGTCATGGTACATTCATTTTGTCTTACCTGCCGTGAAGAACTGTAACTGATTTGTGTGTCAGTATCTGGACTTGTATTGCTTGAAGTATTCTTAGGATAAAGTCTGAATTAGAAGGGATGAAATTTTGCAGAAATTTTAGTCATGTTAATTGCTTGAAAATGAGTAGTTTCAGGTTTTGAGGGGAACATGCTTCTTCTCTGTACAAATACTGTTTATACAGAAAGTGAAACTGCGGAGTATTGGAATAAACTAGCTTGTTTCTGTTCTTCTGACTGTTTTGGCAAGAAAACGTTCTGGTTTAGGAGGGCTTCTGTGATAGAGAAGGTCTTTGAATATAAAGCTAGTTTGTCTGCTAAAAAAGTAGGCAAGGGGTCTCCTCTGCCACTTCGTATCACCTCCCTGCTGAGATGGGAGAGATGGGCACAGCTCTGACAGCAGAGGCACTGCTGGGTTCAGGAGGCAAATTCTGTTCTCAAAGATTTTCTCAACTCTGACGCCTGCAGGACAGCTTGCCTGCAGCCTGCCTACACATACCTATCTACCAGGCAAAGCTGGTGAGGTTTTGGGGTTTTATTTTCTAATCTGTTGTTTCTCACTATACAATGAAGTTCACAGAAAGGCAGAAAATCCCTCAGGCTGACATCTGTACTTTTTCAAACTTCTCTAACCTCATCTGAAGGAGACAAAGGAGAGTAAGGTAGGACATACAGCAGATTTTTTTCCAGCATCATCTCAGTTCTTTCATTTTAGACTAATGTATAGGTAAAATGCCTTCCGTAGGCAAAAGTATCATCTTTTGGTAAATCACATAATACAGCAGGAAAAGCTAAACAGGCTTTTGGATATAAGTTTCTCATAGATGTGAAATAGGACCCCAAACTTCCAATGCTAAATATAAGCTGCACACTATTATTTTTGGCTTCCTAAACTGATATGAAAAATAAGTTGTAGGGCAGGGTTCTTCCGTTCCTGAGATGACTTTCTTTTTCTTTTAAAATTTTCTTATCCTCTGTACTTGTGGGAAATTGCTTTATTCCCTGTCAGTCAAAAGAGTTTGGGAAAGAAACCCCCCTGACAGATCTCCTCAGAAGCATCTTTCTCACATTGGAAGAAAACTTCACATTATTGCCTTTCTGTAAATCTTCTCCTTCCTCTTAACTACCGCTTGGTTTTAAATGGTAGCAGAATTCATTGCCTGGTTTCAAATGATAAGTCACAACTTACTCCCTTTATCTGTAGGAAACTAAAATGTACCATCTAACTCTTAAGACTTGTATGTGATTTAAGGGAACACCTACTGCTTCATGAGCTGTATTCTTTGTCCTGGTATAGTGATGCTCACTATTTCTTTTACTACTTTACCAGCATTTGTAATTCTTATTGTTTTGCTAGCACTGTAAAAGAATGATGAACAAAACTCACCCAGAGTCTTGCAAGTGAATCAAATTGCTGTGCTGTGTATGTAGAAAACAGCACTAACATGGATGCATCCTGAGCAGAAACCTTGCTGCAGCAGAGGTATGCACTGAGTCATCATAGAGTTAATGCAAAGGGAGCACAGGGAATATAGGGATGGAGCTGGAGTTAACAGGCTGCTTGGGAAAGGAGGTGTTAGTTCATTATTTAAAGAAAAAAAATTAGTCTTAACAAGCATCCAAATAGCAAAAGACAGCACCCTCTGAAAGGCCTGGAAATACATTGGGAAGCACAACCTGTCTTTCTCACTTAGAACTTTTGCTTGTGCAGAGGCCAAAAGCAAATGTCAGTGCTGATGTCCCATGGGACTTCGGTCCACTGTTACCTTCCCCAGAGAGCTGGTAACAGCATTCAGTGCCCTAACACACAGGTTTGGATGAAACTTTAATCCTGTGATGTGAAAATATGCAAAATGCCCATTTTGGCAACACTGCAGGACGCCAGGGGACTGTATTATCAGTAAACTAAGGTAAAGTCATGTGTGAAACAACCAAGAAAGTGACTGAGCAGTATAGAACACATCAACTATAGCCTCAGACAGAGGGTGCTGGATTCAGTGGGATGCTGTGTGGAAAAAAAAAAAAAAAAAGGAAAGTCCTGGGAAAGCAATTGCTGTTGTAAACACACTTAGTAATGCTGGGTTTCATTTTCTGTGCTTCAATTAAAACACACAGCCAAGCATTCACTATCCAGAGGTGTAATCCTGCTTCCCTCTGGCACACCCTTCATGTAGCAACCTTCCTCTTTCCAAAACTCACTTCTTTTTCCCTGAAACTTTGGACAGAGCACTTTCCACAAATCCCACCATCACTTTAATGCCACAGCACAGCTGTTATTAAGATTTTTTTTGGTTCAGCAAAAGAAACTACACCACCTGAAATCCAGTGTAGATAATAGAAAGGCAGATTTGTGTAGATGTATGTCAGCCCAATGCAGTGAAGAAAAAAAGAGGGTAAACAGAGCAAGTCCTTCATTTTTGAAAGTCTTCATTCTTCCCAAGGTAGAAAGCTACATTTCTCTTACTCCTGTACTCCTGAGCTGTAGCTCTTCTTAATTCTTAATTTTCAACTCGACAGCAGGACTTGGCACTGGCAAGGCTCCTTTCTCAGCTCCTTCCTGACACCTTGACCTTGTAATGCAAAACATTTTGCATTATGTCTGTATTTAACCACAGGGAAATGCAATTGGAAGAGATCTTTAGAATAACAAAAGCTCTTAGGATTATATTTCCACAAAGACTAAGAAGGCCTACTTACTCCCTTTCCATAGGATTTGCCCTTTTCTTCATCTGCTGTAATCAAGCAGTTTAATAATTGCTGAACTTGGAAGGAGTGATTCACCTGTCTGTTTTGCATTCCCTTTAGAACTGCACAGGACCATGGGATGGCTGAGACTGGAAAGATTTCTAGAGCTCAGCTGCTCCAATGCTGCTGCTCAGGCAGGGCTACCCAAAGCACATTGCCCAGGGCTATGGGACAGCAGAACTTCTGCTCATCACTTCTCTGTCTCTACTTCTGATCCAATATTATTTTGGGGTTAATGTTTCAACAGCATTGTTCACAGTGTGGAAAACCAATATTCTGCAAGGCCCAACTGTGTTTAGATTTTACAGTAATACAACAAAGAGCATGCAGCAACAATTTGAGAAATTAATGTGATATGTTTATAACCTCCTTCTTGGTTCTCATGAAGGTTTGTCAACTTCTGCTTTCCATTTATAGTAGGGCAGGCAATAACCACAACTTTTTGTAATGTTGGTAATGTAATGAGGCCACACAGTATGAAAAAGGAGAAGTACCTGAGTGTAGGTCACCCCTACACATAGGGTGTTGCTATGTCCACCTGCTCTCCTAAGATTTGGCTCTTAGATTCAAGTGTCTTCTGCAGAAGAACACAGAGAGGTCCATTTCCAAGCTGCACAAAGGGACAACTCCACCCAGGGCTGGGAGGGAAATGAGGATTAGTTCACAAGAAAGTAGCTGTGGTAGTGTGACTGGTTCTGCTTACTGCCTTCACCTCAAAATACGATTCTCAGTGCCTGTCTGAAACTTTCCATAGTTGCAGTGTGTGACCAGCTATTTTGACAGGATGCAGACTGGAAAATTTGCTGGTTGTCCATTTCATGTTGGTATCTGAGAATTACGGTGGATTGAATGACTTGGATCATCAACACGGATAACATTCATATCACGGATCTGTAAGCACTGAGAAGCCAATATTTGTTTTGGAAATAATTTGATAAAGATGATGAATAACCAACATGCACAGTTATTCCACTATCTGTGGAATGTTTGAGCTTATGCTGGTGCTTGCTGCTCTAACTGGAAGCATACAGAAGGGATTTAAAATGAGGCGGAGGACAGATAAACTTTATCTAAAGAAATGCAGAAACAAAGCAGTTCCCAAACCATACAGAAATGTGGGAGTGCAGCAGGGAGCACATGAGTACGCAGAGAGTTGTCTGGATTTCATATGGCACTCTGAAATGCTTAGCAATTCTTATTAGCTCATGCTTTTCTGTCTAGTGCTTTTTTTTGTCTAGCAGATATTGCTAAATCTATTTTTTAAATTACTGTGATAAATTTTACAGTGCCAGCAAGTGCCCTGTTACCAGAAATGAATTCCCAATGTGACCATACACAGTAAACCATAAAGTTTGGGGAAGAGCTCTACAAAATAGCTGTGTGATCTTTTACTGTTCTTTCCTGCACTGAGGGGACGTCTCCTAGAGCTGTCTGCAGGTCTCATGAGCTGGGATGTAGCAGCCCAGCCAGAAGCTGCTGACCCTGAACAGACATTGTCATAGCAGTACAGGATGGAGTTCTTCCATCCTCTTCACTGCAGTCTCCTTGTTCCCTCAATAACTGCTGGATCTGTGCTTGTACCACTTATATTCTGATGAAGTTACAGAAGCTGCAGTTTATTTAGTACTTGCCAGGTTGTTTTCGGCTGTATGGTCAGACTGCAGTATCCCATGTGGTTGGTGTGAAAAATGGGTGAATCTCATTGCAATAACTTCACTTGAGACTTATCTGCATGACAACGACTTAAAATTACAGACCTAGATGCAGATTGCAATGAGTCTCACACATGAGACCAGTGAGACCAGTTCCAATCCTGTCAGATTTCAATGGCTTATGATCAACAGAAAGCCACAGTGCTAGACTTTTACTTTTCATTTACAGAAGTTGTCTCTGTCATAGCTAATTGTTTTGTGATCTGATTTCAGACAAGAGATAAATCATGGATTCAGCATCTGTGTCTGAAAATGGCTACCTTGATTTGCTGCTTTGTGATATTGATCCAGTGCATCTATTTACATTCTCAGACCCTAAGTCATCTGGAAATGAAGGTGAATTCTTCGCAGGTTAGTAAAGCACTAAAAAGCACTTGAATAATTTAGATATAAGGCATTGCCATTCTCTTCAAGATTAAGTGGCCATCCAATGACAGTTCATCGTGGTGGCTGGACTGAATTCACCAGGTGCTTTGTTTTGCAATATGATAATTTTTTCTGTATAAGTATATAAAACAGTGACTGCTTCCGGAAACTACCACGTATTTAAAGACGTGCAAGGTGCTGAACCTGGTCCAGAACAATCCCAAATATCAGTGTCAATTAGAGTGAATGGATGGAGAGCCTCTCTGAGCTGTGCCCCCTGCACAAGCTCACATGTTTGTGTTGGACATGGAGCAGTTGGAACAGGTCCAGAGGAAGGCATAAATATGCTCAGAAGGTTAGAGCACCTCTCCTATGGAGGCAGGCTGAGAGAGCTGCAGTTGTTCAGCCTGAAAAAGAGAAGGCTATAGGACAATCTTACTGGGGCCTTGCAGTACTTAAAGAAGGCTTAAAAGAAAGATGGGGAGAGACTCTTTACAAGGGTGTGTAGTGATGGGACAAGGCTTAACAAATCAAGGCCAGGTTGGATGGGGCTTCGGGCAACCTGATCTGGTGGAAGGTATCCATGGCAGGAAGGTTGGAACTGGATGATCATAGAACATCTCAGATTGGAAAGGACCCACACGGATCACATCCAACTCAGCACTACACAGGACTACCTAAAAAATTAAGTCATGATCTTTATAGGTGTCTTCCAATTCAAACCATTCTGTGATTCTATAAAGCTAGACAACTGCAAGCAAACTATCATTTCCTAAGGCACCAATGCAACAGACTTGCATTAGCAGGTGCTGTTCTACATCTTTTCAGAGCACAAACTAATTATTTCATTATTCTGTGATGGAGGAAAAAGCAGAAAGACTAGGGTGCCAAGGGGATGTTTTCCTTCATACAAGTTTCTACAGCTAAGCAGATTAGAAGGTTGGCCCTCGCTCTCAAATTCTGCTGCTAAATTAGCGTGGACATTGCAGAGCACACTGCTTTGCCTGGGCTTGCTAGAGTAGAAGTATGAAAGTGTACCTGTGCTGTGTTGTGAAACAGTAGCTGAGGTTGTTTTAAGCAAAGGAGCTCAACTACATGTTGAGAATGGCAATGAAAGGAGAACATATGTTGAAGTCCTAGAGCTCTGTGCCAGATAGATATTAAGAAGTTACCATGTTGGAGTGATACCATTTCAAATCCACACTGCTTTCTGCATCTTGTTGCAGGAGTTTTTCTGCACTGCCATGACCTCACTTGCACAGGACTGGAAGTAGGATGAATTAGGGATAAAGGACTTGACTTTCACAACAGCAGAGATGTTTTGCTGGTTTGAATTCTTAGCTTCCTAGTGTCTGAGAAGACATGGATAAGTTAAACAGTGTCAAAATATGGCCCCATTTATTGGAAGTAGGACATCTTCATTGTTCAGTTGTCAACACAGTCGCTGACATGCTTTTGGCCTTGTCTGACTGGCATTTTCCTAGCCAATTTACTGCTGCAGATCAGAGGTTAGCAAGGACTCTGCAACATTCCCAAGAGGGAATTTGGATGGTGTTACCACATCCTGAAGTGTAAAAAGGTTTAATAACATGGACTATTTGGGGTTAGTCTTGTCTGCCATTGACAGATGACAGGACAACAGGAAATGCCACAAGTCCCTGGAGGTGTTCAAGGCCAGGTTGGATGGGGCCCTAGGCAGCCTGGTCTAGTATTAGATATGGAGGTTGGCAGCCCTGCCTGCAGCAGAGGGGCTGGAGCTTGGTAATCCATGAGGTCTCTTCCAATCCATTCTGTGATTCTATGAAGTTGCCCCAGGAGGTTTAGGTTGGATATCATGAAGAACTTCTTTACAGAAAGGGTTCTTAAGCACTGGAACAAGCTCCTCAGGGAGGTGGTTGAGTCACCAGCCCTGAATATGTTTAAAAACCATCCGGATGTGGTGCTCAGGGACATGATTTTACAGTGGGTTGTTAGAGTTAGGGTAGTACGGTTAGGTTGTCGTTGGACTTAATGATCTTGAAGGTCTTTTCCAACCTGAGCAATTCTATGCTTCTGTGATGATTCCACGCCATGTCTCCAGGCTGTAGTGCCATGAAATGGGTTCTGGAACCGTTTTATATACTAGGAGAGGTGAATTTTCAGAGTTTAACAAAAGAATATGGATTTCTGGGTTAACTGTAATTACTGAGAATTCAATTCTGTTCCTAGTTAGCCAACATGCACCAAAAACCAAAAGCCTTACACTGAAATAATACATCCCCTTTTTCTTCATGTCCTGCTTTCTGTTACTTTTCCTTAGCTGTGGTATTTGTTAAACCAGTGCTAACTCCTTTTTCATTCTAGATCCTGAAATTGATACCTGCAACTATGAACAATTCAATAATATGGATTTCCTGTGTACAGTGGAAAATGATGAAAGTGAGGATGAATTGTATCTCTCTTCCAGTGCCAGAGATGCTTATGCTAGAATAGGTATGAAAGCTTCTTTTTTTTTTTTTTTTTTGTTTTCCAGCTCTTGGTATCTTAATGTGCTCATTCTTTTCTACCCATTTGATATAGCTCTTTCTTACAAATTCTATTTTCACTCTAAAGAGTGGCACATATTCAAGGGTCCTCATGCACAGTAAGTCTAACCATGGTATGGTAGGTATTCAAGACTCCTAATGCACAATAAGCCTAACCTTGGTACCTAAAACCATGCATTGTGGGGAAACAGATGAACAACAGTCTGTGGTTGTTAGGGGAAAATCTCTCTATTAATGGCTCCTTCTGCTTAGTACTTCCTGTCTCCACTTCTCCTTTCTCATGTTCTTTGTTTCCTGAGCAACAATTTACAAGAAAATCTTAATTTAACTGTTATTTCAGTTATATTGCAGAATTCTGTGAACAGTAGTAAACAATTTTACGGTGAAATTTACTGTGGCATTACTGTTTTCCTGTCTCTTTTCTTCTTTTAGCTGAATTAGCAGAATATGTGCTCAAGGATCAGCATGAGAAGCAAGTGGAAGATGCTTTTGGTAAGATTTATGTCGACAAGTTTAATTTTCTTCATGACAGAGTTCTGGATAACTCCTTGCACTGTACTTCAATTAGAACACTAGTAAGATTTCTGTCATCAGGTATCCTCTTCCCCTTCAGCTTTCTTTCACCTGGAAACTGTGCTGACAAGTTCTGAGGATATTTTGCTTTTTGCAGGATTTTCCATGTGATAGCAGTTGTATCTGTGGCCAAACTGCTGATCGCTTCACCATAGCAATATTGTAGGCATTGCTTGACTGTCTAGTGCAGTAAATGCCTACAAGAAGCACAGACTTATCAGCATTTGACACAAATTATGTCCATGTATTCATTAAGCCCAACACACCAATAGGTCTTATCATGTATATAAATTCAGTTCTACACCCTTATTTCTGTGGAGGATGCACTAAGTAGCCTGAGAAGCCATGTCAGATTTTACTTCTCCCAGATCAACACAGGAATGGTATAAAATATATGTAGTAAATTATTTCTTCATATCAGTAATTGATTGGAGATATTTGCTTGACATCTTGATCAAAATCAGTGTTTTAATTGTGGCACAAAAGCAGCAGTTCACCATTTTAGAGAATCTGTGTTATCGTGTGGCTGCTGAGAAATATGTAGATTCAGAAAGGTTCACAGAATATCTGCACATCCTCTTTTATGCTTGGAGAAAGCAATTTGGAATTGCTTGCTAAAGGTCAGCGCATATCCAGGGCAATTAATTCTGGCTACAAGAGGCCCATGTGGCTTTTAAATTTTTTTTTTTACCTCTCCCTGGTGTTTTTAGAATTCAGAGTGAAGAGGTTGAACGTAATGGCAAAACTGGTGCTGATCTTAGGGGAAATGAGATCCAATTTTAATATTTATGTATTTTCCTGTACAAGAATGGTACAGATAGCTTCACTGTTTTATAACAAAAAATATATAAACAGTTTAGAACCCTTTACTCTTCCTCTAAAATAATTAATCTTTCTCATCTCTATAATGACTAAAGTCCTTTTCTGATACAGAGATCACACAAACTCTCTAATATAGCTGTGATCCAGCTATGATGTTTAATTCTTTGCTCATAATTAGTAGTGTTTTAGTAGCCATTGAATTTGTCACAGTACCTCAATTTCTTCACTCTCAAAACTAACACAGGGTGGCAGAATCTATGGTCGGATTTCTGTGATCTTTCTAAATCCTATAGAGTTGGGTATGTTTTGCAGAATGGTTTTTGTTGTTCATCTTTTATTTGGAGCATGTTTCATCATTGCTGTCTTCTCGTGTCATTCTCTCACTTTTATCTTCTCCTGCAACATTTCTAGGAGAACAAAAGTTGAGATTTGCAATATTTCATCTTTTTAGCAGGGAACCTTATTTTGGATGAAATGGCTCTTGAAAACACTGAGAAATTCACTGACGTAAAGAAGCAGAAATGTCACAAAAGAAGTAAGTAAAAACAGTGAGAGTCTGAAAGGCTCTAAAGTTTGCATCCAAAATTTGGATTAGAGTTCTTTGGTTTTATATGCAGCCTCAGTGCATTTCTCATGTAGTTCTTCAGTGACACAAGCAGATGTGCTTCCCCTGACTTTTCCTATCCTGGATGGACATTAAGCAAAAACTCCCCCCAGCACATTCTTCACAATTTGCAGAATTTGTTTTCCTGTAAGATGACATTAAGCATGTTGTATTTCTTTCCCCCTAATTTTTCTCTCTTTTTTTTTTTTTTTAATCTCTGTGAGAATGTTAACTTTGTTTGCAGTGTATCTACAGCTTAGCAAGCATTAGTTCAACTGTTCACTCTTTAACAGCAAGAAAAACAGCAAAGCTACATTATTTAAGGAAAAAAAAATACTCTATAGCTGAATTCAAATTTCAGGATCACAGTAAACTAATATGAGACTACACACATTCATGTTTAATGTTTTGGACTCATGCAGTTCTGAAGTAGCTGAATTGAAATTGTTAGCATCCTCTTTTACTTTAAAGTGTAAAATGAGTTTCTACAATGGAAACAAAATCAACAAACTGAATCCTCTTTCTGTCATTTACTGTCACCTTTCTTTCTTTCAGCCTTTTTAGGCTCTGCAGAGACTTGTTCTGATACTTCAGAACCTAAATACAAGAAAATTGGTAAGATACTGGCTGAATATGAAAAGATTATTGACTGTATTACACTGCCTCATGTTCCATACTGCCTTCCTGGTTAGATGTAACTCTGCCTTGCAAAGATCTGCTGTCACAGATTTGATGATTAGCATAGTGGTGCATTTTCATACTTCAGTGCTTCCAGTAGAGTAGAAACTGCTGTAGAATCACATGCTTCTTACTATGCAGCTGTCCAATTCATGATAGAAAAATGACTTTGTGTCTAGAGAGTTGAACTTTTCTAAACCCACCTGAGGGCATAAAGAAGGCCAGTGGAGAACTGGAACAGTGATAAATTTTGTAACTTTTCATGTACACCTTTTATTTATGATGCGTTACGTGACTCTGAAAAAAAGAGGATCAATACCAGGCAATGCCAAACAGTGGCTAAGTGACACTTCACAGAAATCCAGGGAAACATCCTAGTAAAAATGACAGTGAAGAGACTGCTTCTTGGCCCAGCCCATGTTCTACAGTACTTTGCACCAAAGTAAAACAAATATAAAACATTTCTAAGTTGTCAGACCATCTACAAGGTAATATCAGCATCCAGCAAGCAGGCTATAACTTGTTTCCAAGGACAAAGCAGTGCTCAAGTTCTTGCCTGGCTGTAGGATAAATGCATGTCACAGGCATAAGTAAATACGGTTTGTTGTACCTCAGCCTCTCTCATCTCAAGCAGTATTAAGGGACAGACTGTGCCCTTGAAGCCAATTTAAGACCTTGTTGAGTCTCATCTGTCAGTCTAAACACATCTAGAAAGAAGACAGGCCAGGAAAGATGAAGAATTTCATTTACTCTTTAGATTTTGCAGAGTAAATTTTGGAAAGTTATTAATTTTTTTTTCACAACTCAACTGATAAGAATTGGGTTTTTATGATATCTGTTGATACCTCTTTTATGGGTCCCTCAGCTTCTAGCAGTGAAGTAAATTTCTCTTTTGTTTTTGTCTCATTTTTATTTTTAAGTGGATGCCCCTGCAGTATCAACAGGGAATGGATGTTTCCTTACGACGTCTCTCAACAGCCATTCATCTGACTGCACCCCACTAACTCACCAGCACATGTCCTTTTCTGTTCCCACTATCAATGCACTGGGAAATTTTGTAATTCCTGGTATGTACCACACAGCTGTAGCTGTGAACTCTTACGTTGGTTGTTTTATTGCATCTTGTAAGTTTGGTCATTGACCATGAACAGTAGTGGGGAAAACAACTTAACAGCCACTTCAGTCTGAGACTTAAAATTGAGACACTCACTAACAGAATGAAAATGTTCAAGATAAATTGAAAGTACTTTCCCCCTACCTGAATAGAATGAATCTTCTGTTTAATTGGTGAAGTGCAGGTTAATAAAGAAGAGATGAGAGTTATTTAATATAAACAATTAACTATTGGTCCTAAAAGAATAGGAAATAACAAAATTTTCTAGAATAAACTTTTGTTTCGTTCCAATTTCTTTCTCATCCAGGTGTTTGTAAAGGGCTGCTAGATAACTGTGTTTGCAGTTATACATGCTATTTGTGTCTTTGCAATAGCAGACCAAAATCTAGTGTGGAATTTTTTTCACAAAAAGTGAATACTTATCCAAGTGATGGGCTGAGTAGTCACCTTGATTTGGTCATGTTGTATATAACAGAAGGTGTGCAGGCTCCACTGACAAGTGCTAATGACAAAGACTCACAATCTAATACCTCTTGCTGTTAAACCTATGCTGGAAATGAATCCCAAAGCTTTGTGTAAGTTGGAAGTGTGGGAGTGTCTCTGTGAAGCTAGGTGAGCCAGCACAAAGTAGTGGAAGAAATTCTGTCACACCACAGAAACTCGGGGCCATGTATGATTGAGTTACAAACACTCCATCAACAAACAATTCCCTGGTTTATGGTCAGAGGGAGAATGCTCACTAGCTGCTTGTACAGCTGTGTTATGCAGTTCTGTGCAAAGGAGGGAAAGCATTCATTCAGATATGTGGTATCGGTACATTTTCTCTCTTCTTGATCTCTGGTCTGCACATCTATGGACTTTGCCCTGAGTATATTGCCTTAACAGTAATAGACTTTGTCTTTTGAATGTCAAGACACAAGGGTCACTAAACACTGGGTAATCCCCTGTGTTTTCCAATAATCATACCTTTTAAGAGTTTATTCTGATGGGTTCCGTGTCCCTCATGTGATCTCATGAACTTTAGAAAAAACATAAAGTCATACAGTTCTGTATCATAAGGTCTCTGCTGGAAGTATTTGCCCAGAAAGTACAAGAAAAGATAATTATCTCTCAGAAGGCTATTTAGTTTTTGTTTTTAGGAACTTTTTGAGATAGGAAGATTTGAAAACAGGAGAGTAATGATTCTGCTGTTTCAGGGTCTTCAGTACCTTTGATTCCAGAGAGTCTGCCACTTGGCATGAAAAACAACAGAGAGAACATAGACTCTGTGGATCCTGCTCAGCAGAAAATTAATTATTTTCTTGGAAATGGTCAATCTAATGCTATAAAATATCCAGGTAAGAACTATAATCTTTTATCCACATAAATAGTCAGAAAGTACTGGAAAATCAATGCTGTTAAAAGAGTGCAAGACTCTCTCATTTCAGTCACTAATAGCTGCAATACAGTGAAAACTCTCATTTGTTTCTTGCCAGCACTGACTTCCTCCACTGAATTAATAGTATCTCCAGGTTTTCAAGTTAATTTAAATGGTAAGTATAGCATCAATTTGAATATGTACATTACTTCGGATCGGGGAGGGAACACTCCCTTCTATTCAAAGCCAGTTCCCCCCTGCTGGTTTTACTGAAGTTGACCTCATTCAAGAAAAGAAAAAAAAAAACAGTGGCATTTCCAGCTTTATACTGCTGACTTGCTGCTTAGTCTAGTCCAAAGAACGAGGCAGGTAAGGGCTTGTAGAACTACTGGCTCAATTATAAAAAAAATACAGTTTGCCACAAAGGAAAATCTTATCTAGTTAAAAGCATTACAAAAGCCCCTTGTGTTTGATTGCTATCAGAGCATGAAGCTGTCCCATTACTGCCTTTGCCTGAGCATTTGAAGTGCTCTGTGCTGGAAGCCATATGCTGCAGTCAGCTTCCATAGGAGCTATAAAACTGAAGTCTTATTTAACGAAACAATGCAGATGCATAGTATGCAGAAGGGCTTATAAATAGATCAGAGTCTTTTTCAGGCTGTAACAGTCCCAGCTGGGATAGCAGACTTTCCTCTGCACTTTTCTTCCAACTCTCGGAGTGCAGGGAGATTTGTTTTCAGTAGCTCCTCTCCTTCCCATCTCTGCGTCATCTGGCAATTTCAGCTCCTCGCGGGTTACTACAAGTGTTTTGTTGCCCTCTGGTGGCTAACCCAGCCCACAGATGCACAACTTCGAACTAGGAGTTAATAGGCAAATACTCCAGGTTTTGAGAAAATACTTGTAAATGTTGTATACTGCTTTTACTTTTGATGAGATGAACCTTTCCTACATGTGAATGTGAATTTCTGCACACCACCATTTGAAAAAAATAAAAAAACAGTGGATGCCACCTTGTTATGCTATGACTTCACACTGTTGGAATAGCTGTCATCTTTTTCAGTGTTGTGCTGCCTTGGTTCACATCAGCTCACGTGTAATACTGTGAGCTTTTCTCTCCCCTTTCTTGTGTAAGATCAGTGGTAATATTTTCCTGACAGTACATGTTTTATATTGCAGTGAACTTGAGCATTTGGATTCGTTTTCCTGCTAAAATTAGTAAAGCTGAATCAGCAGCTATTGGATATCTTTCTCAAGTATATTGTCATGTTTCAGGCTTAGAAATGTACAAAGAAGTCCAAGTTCCAGTAATTCTTTCTGAAGAAACTTCAAGAAGACCAAGTGAGTTGAAACTTCCACAATTTGTTGTTTTCCCTTCTTTGCAGAATAGAGCCTTGTTTTAGGAATTGTCATTCTCAACAATTTAAGTTGTTCCAACTCTCTTGAGCTAAATTCCTGCTTTTAAGATCTTAGACTTGTACATTTCTGGACATCTAGCTATATAACCTACCTGGGAGATAAATGTCCTTAGCTGTTTTATCACGTCCATAGATATCTTCAGAGTGATTGAGTTCTTAGTGTAAAGGTGTTTGTCATTACTGAAGTCTGAAGTAACTGGAGCTAGATAAATTCAGGCCTGCGTGCTTTATGGAAACTGATATATTTTGACCATATTACAGTCATGTGCTTAAAGCACCCTGAAGCATTGCTGTCGTTTTTGGACTGGTTCCTTCAGTTTGCATATGTGTTTTTTTCTCTAGGGTCAGTGGAAGCTTTCTGTACATCGCTTATGGATTACTTCCGAGACGTGTGCAAATCTGTGTCTGTGGAGCGTGAAATGTCTCTTGATCACATGTATGTTGATGGTACACTTAGGCAAAGCCAAATTGAAACCAAGCCTGGGAAGAACAGTGTAAAATCAGTGGAAAAGGATTCGGTAACTAATAGTCAGCAAGGGAAGGAAAAGGCAGTCCTTGAAAGAAACCAAATATTTCAAATCCCAGGAGGCAAAGAGTTAGAGACTAAAGTGATTGTGGTGCTGGGAAAAGCAGGAATGGGCAAAAGCATTCTTGTTCAGAAGATCTGCCAGGACTGGTCCAATGGAGAGTTTCCTCAGTTTGAATTTGTCTTTTGGTTTGACTGCAAACAAATAAGCTTGCCTGAGAAGTGGTACAGCTTGAAGGATCTACTTCTTGACTTTTTTGTGAAACCTCAGGAAGGAAGCAAAGAGATCTTTGAGTATTTACTTCAGAATTCTACTAAAGTCCTTCTGGTTTTTGATGGTTTGGAAGGGTTGCACAGCCATGAGAATTTTCCTCATTGTTCAGCCAGTCAGCCTAACAAAGACTTGTGCCGCATGAAGGAGCTGCTTTCAGGACTCATCCAAAAGAAGATACTCAATGGCTGTACTTTATTACTTACAGCAAGAACAAAAGAAAAGGTGTGCCAGTATGTGTCCAAAGTGGATAAGACTATTGAAATAGTAGGATTCTCCCCTCGGCAGAGAGAACTGTACATAACCAAATACTTTGAAGGATTCCCCTCGTGCGACAATGCACTGAATTTAGTCAAAGAGTGTGAGTACCTCTTCAGTCATTGTTACAGCCCTGTTATGTGTAGATTTGTTTGTTTTCTCTGTGAGGCAATACTTGAAATGGGAGACCAAGGCCTTCCTTCAACTCTTACTACACTCTTCCTGAAATTTGTTCAGCAAAAAATAATGCCTACGCAAACAGATGTTACAGATGTTACACTTGCACAAAACCAAGAGAATCTTGCTACGCTAGCCTGTATAGCCTGGTATCTTGGAGAAAAGCACCAAAGTGCCATGAAAAGTGACCTTCTTCCTTCTAAGAAAGTTAAAGAGTTTGCTCTGAAAAATGGATTTTTCCTGCCATTTGCATTCCCCAAACATTCAGGTACAGGAGAAGAGGAATATGGGACCATGTTCTCCGATTTTGTCATTCAGAATTTCTTGGGTGCACTTCACCTTATATTAGCAGAAGGCATCAAGGACAAAAGTTTAATAAAGTATCTGTCTTTTCCATCCAAAAAGAAGAAACCTTATAACTGGTTACATTTAGTGCCTCGATTTTTGGCTGGATTGTTATTCCTCCAGGATGACACCTACTTCTGCTCTTCAAACAAGGGTGTAAAAAAATCAACCAAGAAACAGAAAATGCTCCTGAAATATATTAAAAGGTTGCAAATAAACAACCTCTGTCCAGAGAGGTTACTTGAGCTTTTGCACTGTATTTATGAAACACAAAACAATTATCTCTTGCAGCATGTGGCCTTAAGGCTCAAGCCAGACCTGTCCTTTCTGGGCACTGTTCTTACACCACCAGATGTCCATGTACTGTCCTCTACTTTAAAAAGGTCAAGAAAAGAGTTTTCCTTGGATTTGCAGAACAGCAGTATTGACACGCACGGGCTAAAAGACTTGGTTGGCCTGAAGAATGTGACATCATTCAGGTTGGTCATTCTGTGTAGATAGCAAGTGTCATTCATAAAGCTGTGCATAAATGAAACAGCAGTTATAGCTATTGATTTCACATGTTTTATCACTTCACAGGGCCTCCCTCAGTGATACAATCAAGCTATGGAAATATTTAGAACAGACAAAAGACTATGAACTGCTGAGAGTGTCAACAGAAAAATTTGTTCTTGATCCCTTTAAGGCAAAGACAATGAAAGACATCAGTGACCTTTCTGACCTCGTAGAAATGCAGGAGATAATAATCAATTGGTAAGCTTGTTTATGATCAGGATCCCTCTAAAATTCTTTTTAAAGCACTATTTTGGTTACAAAATGTTTCTCATGCTCTTATTCTAATGTGATTTATTTAGTGTTCAAGATGCCTCCAGTTGCAGCAGCTATGAAATTCCTGCCGTAAAAAACCTGAGAAAACTAGAATTTGCGTAAGTGAAATGCTTCCTTGTTGATTGATATCTGATTACACTTAGAACTGTCACAGGGATTGTCTACAGTGTGTACTCAGTTTATGGTAAAGCATTAGGTAAAACCCATTTATTATTTACATTTTGCTCATATGAACTATATTTAGTAATTTACATCCAACACAAAAAAAACAATTAAAAAAGTAATTTCTGAATCCTGCAGTGATTCAGGTCAATGTGGTTCTATCAATTTTGTTTGACTTCACCAAAATTTAGCTTTTTATAATCAGGTGCAGATGTCATGTCAGTGTGCAAAATGCAAAATAGTGATCTAAATGCCCATGAAACAATTTTTTGCCAGAAATATTCAGCTGTTCTATCTGAATATTCTGCCCCATCTAAGCTTAAGCTGTGAGAGGAAAAGGTCAGAGAATTCCTTCCAAATTAAGTATGTAGTTCAGTTTTCCTAGAAGGGGGAAGATTCACTTGGAAACATTGTCTTGAAAAATGAGGTTTTTTAATCCTTACGTTTTTCAGACTGCAAAACAGCTTACAAAGGTAGACATTTCTCTCTTCTACTGCTTAAAAGCATCCTGTGTTAGGGTATTTGGGAAGAACTTGCACCAATGCAGTGGAGAACTCTCACCAGGTCTTCATTTCTTGCTCTGATATCTGACCAAGCTCAGAACTATAATGCTTCGCTTCTGATTTTATCTTTCTTCCTCTACTCAGCTCCTTTCCTACTTTCTTTTAATTTTAAAACTCTGGTTAAAATTCCATGTCTTTTAATTAGGCTGATCTTGTTCTGATACAAAAGGAATTCCAAATGAGATTAGCATCTGAGGGACAAATTTGATGAGCAGATGCCTGGAGCTGGAATACTGTAGTTCTGTTTATGCCTTAAGCTGCAGTAGAATGTTGATCTTAAGTTAGTTTGAATTGCCAATAACTGGAAAAAAATTGAGAATGTTTTTTACATCTCTGCTTTCAAGATTACAATAATTAAAATGAGAAATCTGCAGAAACAGAAAAAGAACAGAAATATATGAATCTAAACCAATTGAGAGTCTTACAAAGAATATAAAAAATGGAAATGCAGATATTGCTTCTAATGAAACTTCCTCTGTACAAACAGCTCTGCTCCGTCTGACTTTGACTTTGTTGGTCCTCATGTGGAGGCTTTGGAGCAGAAATACTCCCTGCAGACTGTAGGGAATGGTTGCTTCTGAGGAAGGTGAACTGTCTGGCGTCTGGGGCTGTGGAGAAAGAGCTTACTTAACAAATTTATAACTTCTGCTGTTTCTTTTCTGACTGTGAATCAACTGCTGCCTGTCTACATCTGTTTATTTTCCTCCAGTCTGGGTCCAGCGTGTGGCCTTCAGGGATTCCTAAAACTCGTGGAAATTCTGGCAGCATTTCCATCACTGCAGCATTTAGAGTGAGTAAAGCTGAAGATTAACCTTGCTAATGCTACACCTCGGCAGCCCATGATGAGGAGGGAGGTTGTTTATCCAAGAAACCCTTTATTTTCAACAGGAGTACTCACTTCGATGAACAAACTGAATAACAAAAACATTCAGTGAATATAACTACAAAACGTGAATTAAGGCCCTTCAGCAACATTAGGGCACTCAGTAGTGGCTCATTCAATAGCCCTACTATCACCTCTCTGGGTATTTCCCAGTGATTAAAAGCTGATGAAGTTACTTACAGTGCCCTGCTGCTTGCCCTTGCCCATGTGTTTTTTATTTCTCCTTACAGGTTTTGCAAAAGACATTAAAAAGACATATTCAGCTAGTATCTGGTTTCATTCTGCCCAGGCATCTTCATGCTGTCTTTGTCCTTTTCTTTACCAGGGGCAACTTTAGAAATAAAGTTTTAAGAATTCCAGTTGCTACTAATTCTCTTTTATGACAAGTTATCTCTGAATTTTAAGCTGCTTTACTTAGAAACAATGGTAACAGCAGTAGCCAATATTCAGTATGTTGACTGTGGGTAGATTACTGGGTTTTGAGAGTGCCTTTAGTCAATGGTTCAGCCCATAAGCCATTTCTCTGTATCTTTTTATGATATTTTAGGAAAACAACAGGGCTCCGAAATTGAAACAATCCCAGTGTATCCTAGTGTTGTCTGTCAGATTGGAAGGGGATCCAATACCTGAAATTATGATTATCTAAAATTCTTCCACCTGGATACTTGAATGAGGAAAAACTTCTAAAGCTCCTTACCTGGCAGAATTGCTGTTTAGGTAGGGATTTGTGGCTTCTGCTGCATTTGATCAGTTTTGTGTTTCTATGTGCACAGGAAATCTCATTCCAACACAGCTGGAACACAGCTATTTCAAACCATTTTAATAATCCTCAGCATATGGTGGAAGTAAGGCATTAAGTGCTACCATTTGCATATCAAAGGAAATGGGTCAAGCCTTCAACTAGGCTGTATATTTGAAAAGCAGAAAGCAACTTATTAGAGAAGCTGTGTGATGGTTGTTGCTGATTGAGGCCACTGCTGAGATGCAGGTTCTCAAGACATGCAGAATGGTCTCTAAGGTTAATAAACCAAAAAAATGTATATTAAAGGGAAAGCTAATTCTCTCTTTCATGTCCTCACCCAGCCTTGATGCTCTGAGTGAAAATGGCATAGGAGATGAAGGAGCAAAGAGTCTGTGTGAAGTCTTTCCAACACTGACATCACTGGAAACATTAAAGTAAGTTTCAAGGTTAACAACTTGGAATTTTTTTAAAAGAAGTAGATTAAACCAAGGGTCTAAAGAGACTGTGTGGTAACAATTACAGGCAAGACTAACTCATGGGCACAATAGAGCAATTAATCTATGGACATATTTAATCTGCATATTCATTAGAGAAATAGTTTAATCCTATTGCAATTCGCTATTTCCTCCCAGGGTTTATAGTTCGCCTTTTCCCTGCCTTTGGTTCGAACACAACGTGTAAATTGCACTAAAAATAAAAGATAAGGTGCATATGAATTATTGAGATGTTTCTGCCAGAGCTGCCTCAAAAATTAAAGCAATTCAGGGAAGAACAAGGGCCAGACCAAGGCAGACATATTCTTAGGGCCACAAACATTGAAGGGCAGGAGGAAAGGCAGCAGAGTGAAGCTGAAACTCAAGGGGAGTTCACCTTGCTGCTTCTGACTTTAATGAGGGAGTGAGGGAGAAACAAGTTGCCAGTCCCAATCACCACCTCACACAATCAAGACTCCCCTCTGCTGATGCTTCAGAGGACTGAATTTTTCAGTGGGAAAATGCAATTTGCTGATATGTTTGCCTCCTTTTCAACTCTTTGCTCTTGAAACCATCCAATTTCACAGTCATATGATGTCATTAGGCTTCCCAGTGTGAATGTATGGGGTTTTTTGTTGTTGTTGTTGTTTTTAATTTTATTATTATTATTTTTTATTGAAAACACAAGTTATTGCTCTTCGTTTTCCAGAAAGTTGCCAAATTTAACCAAGAGGATAATCATGTTTGTAAGAAAAGATTCTTGAAATTCAGTTTTATTTCAATTTCTGAGCAAAGCTCTCAGGTTAATGGTAAATTGAGGCTTTGTAGCATCACATTGGTTTTTCAGGACATCTAAAATCAATTTGTTGCACGTTGTAATCAATTAGAATAAATGTGTGTAGCTAACAAAGCAATTTCACTTACTGTAGCTTGTCACAGAATAAGATAACAGATGTGGGTGCAGAGAAACTAGCTACAGCTCTTCCCTCCTTGTCTTCATTAACAACACTAAGGTAAGTGGTTGTGTCCTGTTGGGTTGTTTTATACAACATTACTCACTGTATCCATCAGAAATTACTGTAAAGAGAATAAATTTTCAATAGACAGACTTTTGATTTCATTCTTGCACAAATTATGTAGTGAGAAGGTGAATGTTTGACTCTGTGTAAATATACAGAAGCTTATCTCAGGAATGTAACAAGAACTATGCTGGTTTGTAAGGCCAATTCATAATACCTGGTAACCAATAATGCCTCATACAAATACACACCTATAATCATGGTCTACTGCAAACTTATGCAGAGCTTGCTAAGCCAGCAACGGGCTACTGTGTGTTTGCAGATAGGGGACTAATGGTCCATCCCACTTGGTTAAAATATCTGGCATAGGCCTGAATGAAGTGTCACTGGAATGTAGGAAACTGGTCTGCAATTCTGGAATAGTTTGCTCATTGGAAATCTTCTGAATGCAGTGTGCCATAGCTTTGATCCTCATTTTCTTGCAGATTTTTAATTTCCTCCAGTGTGTCAGGAATTTCTCCTTATTCATTAAAAATCCTAGATCTGTTTTTGCCATAGCTGTGTAAGCTGGAGGATATATATGATCATGTGCCTTGATATAGAAAACGTGGAAATGTTTTAAAGATTAACTGCAATTAGATAAGGATAACTTGGGCATACCAGTCATACCTAGAATTCTTTGATCTAACACAGAGTCTGTTTGTGTTGACCATTATTCAATTGTGACTGCATCGGTTTTGTTGTCTGCAGCTTATACAACAATAGCATTTGTGATTTTGGAGCAGAAAACCTTGCAAAAGTCCTTCCTGCAATGGCTTCTTTAAGAGTGCTAGAGTGAGTATGGAATCTACTGAAACAGCCCACGAGAGCTGATTTGTGTGGATACTGAAAACTCACATCTTCAAGCTATAGGCAAAAGAGACAAAATTTGAGGGGAAATATCTTTTTTTAGTGTGGTTGTGCTGTCCTTACAGTCCGGCGTTTGTTGAGACAGAAAATTGTAGAATTTGCCTGAAAATGAGGAGCGCAGAAGGAAATTCTTGAGAGGGCTGATGTGGTTCTAGGAAATGATGAAGGCTTGCCTTGTTGCTGCCTATTCTTATAGAACAGCAGTGCATCACTACCAGCCTCATGTGAAGGGGAAAAGCACATGATTGGAGTACAGATAGTCAGGGCTTAACAAGTAGTTCACCACAGATGCTGTGGAACCACAAGAGATGTAACTTTCTAATTCTTTAAATACTTGGTAATAAATGATTTTAGTTTGTTTTTTGAATTATGGATTTCTTTTTTTCCCCTCATCCACAGACACACTCCTGTAGTATTTTTGCTTTTGAATGAAATGTTTGATGGTACTGCTACATGATCTGACCTGAATTAACAAGAGGTTTGTTGTTTTTTTTTCCCCCTCAGCATTCAGTACAACAAAATAACTGGTGTAGGAGCCCAACAGCTGACTGACAGCCTAAGAAAATGTCCCCATATTAAAAATTTGGTGTAAGTCTCCTGCTATATTGTTTGCTGTGTCTTCAGTTTGTAAATCGGGTGAGAATTCATGCTAATGCTATCTAAGGTATTTGTCAGGTTTGTAAGAGGCATTAAGAGAAATCACTGAAATACAGAAACAGTCACACAAATGCTAAAAATGAATCGCTGGTTTCAGTGGCTTTAAGTCCCCATTGCCACAGGCAAGCAAGCTTGTCCTGCTTTAAGCACAGTTGGCACTCCACTGTTTATCTCCTACCCTTCCAGAGCACCTGATAACTGTGCTGCAGGACTTGTATTTGAAGGAGAAACAGTGAACAGCCATCATTAGAGGTTAAATAGACTGACACTGCCAGTGCACGTTCAAAGGAAGTTTGATAGGAAACTAACAATTAGGGAGACAAGACTGTGGTGTGTCCTATAATCACAGTCAGCTGTGGAATGGGGGAGTGGACTGCTTACTTTGAAATGAAAATGTATTTTCCTTTGTTCCTTAGCTTAAGTAATGCTACAGAATGATTCCGGGGGGCTGAAGACAAGCCAAAGCAGAATTCTATTACCTCTAACAACAACTATATATATATAAAAAATATATATATATGATGGAAATAAAACCCTAAAAAACTGTGGAATTAATTATGTTTTAAAATCTTTTTTTTTTTTTTTCTGAACTTGCTCTTACAGGATGTGGAATCCTACGATTCCATATGGAGTTCTTGAACACCTTCAGCAGCTGGACTCTAGGATCAGTGTGTAGCTTCAGATGATCCTGTGAAGGTAATGTAAATCCTGTCTCCTTGAGACAGGAGACAGATTTGGTTTTGTGGCAGATTCTCACAGGTCTCACTGGCAGCAGGCACAGTAGCAGCATCTGTGTGTATGTGGCTACATAAAGACATGCTGGCACAGATCAATACCACAACAGATCCCCTTTTGCCCAGTCATCTTGATCCCCTCTCTTCCCTAACGCCAGCACTAGCAGACTGCAAGAGCTGTAAGAATGAACTCCATCAGGGGCTCCTGGTTCAGCCCAGTTCAGTGCCTGGCAACAGGCCTGCGACCCTCCATCTTCAGTTGCACAAAACTAAATAGATCTGAGTTCTTCTCATGACTTCTGTACTCATTAGAGATGGTTTTGTGCTGTTTTTTAGTGAAGTAAGTCACTTCTCCTTTGTTTAGTACAAATCCACCACAGCTGTTTTGTCTTCCTATGAGCCTGTGCCTGTACTGTACTCAGAGCAAACCATTCATTCCTACATTCCTCTTTGTCAGTACGTTTTGTGCAGTTTGCCCACTGCATTGGCTGCCGCTTTCACTTCATTGATTTTTGCCTGCACAGCCTCAAGGATCCTTGAAATAATTACATCCTTAGCAAAGAACAGCTTGCTGATCATTTCCAGGATTGGACTTGACATCACTGGTCCGATGGAGCTGCAGCAGGCAGTTATGGGAAGTTATGATTTCATTTAGGATTTCTACTCCTTGTTCTCCACTATGTGCTTCCTCCTGCTTTTGTGGAAAAAAAAAAAAATAATACTAATATAGGATGAATCAGTGAAATGATCTCTGCGAGGATCAAGAAGTCAGAGTCAAGTCAGACAACAGAGACTCTCCAGCTTTCTTTCAAATGACTAACATCACGCTGCAGAGTGGTTGCCAGGCTGCTTAAGCAGCTGTTCTGAATAGTCCTGCAGTTGCCTTTGGCCCCAAAGCCATGCAGGAGCACCGAAGCTGTGTATGACTCTTGCTTTCAGTGCACTAATCACCACATGCAGATTTATCTATTTTTATAGCTGTCATCAGGCTACAGGTTTTGGAAGATTCAGATGCCATGCCAGCTTCACAGACTAGCAGAACAGAAAAGCTGTAGTGATTATTAATATTTTAAATAATTAAGCTGACAGCACAACAAAATACCAATGCTTTGTCATGTTGAAAAGTCATACCTACTTCGGAGAGAAGTCATTAAGGATCACAACACTGCTGGGAAGCCTCATAAGGGCAGAATTTTCTCTAACTCCTTGCATCTCCCTCCACAACTGTTCTCTTGCGTTCGCAGTGCATTTTTGTGGCACAGGTTACCACATTAGTGCAGTATCTGAGCATGTGAGGGAGCATTTATCTTCATTAGCACTGAGGATTGGCAGCATCAGGAAGTCTGGATCCTGTTTCCCATCTGGAAACATCCAGCACCCACTGACCACTGCTGTGTTTCTTCGGAGCTCGTATCTGCAGTGTTGGCAATGTTAATGGCAAGTAAGTCGACGTGCTTTCATCTAATATCCTGTTTCCATTGTTTCACAGGTAACATAAAGAAGAAGGGAAGGTCTCTTCTGTGTTTTCCTATCTTACCACTTCGAACTATCTTACCATTACGAAGCAGGAATTAAATGCCAACTTGTGTGATAGTGGCAACATGAAAAAAGTCACATTGAACCTTCTGGGTGATGCTTGAAGTGGGTGAATGATGGAGTTCACAGTTTTAAGAGGTCATTTAAAGTGCTTTTTAAAAACTCAGTTGTGTCTCCATTGAATTGATGAACAGTTAAGTAACACGTTTCACAGAAGAACAACTGGATAATTTTCAGTATTAAAAGTGAACAGGAGTCACCAGCTTATTGGTAGTAGAAAATTCTATCGATTCATCGAAGCTGCTGCACCCTCAATGTCTGAAGTCACGAGAGATGAAAACTAATTGTTTCGTGGTGCCATTGATAAACACAATTAAGTTTGTTTTGATTTTGGACTACCAAAGTTGAAGTTTTCACCTGTAAGTCTGGATTAAATGGAAATGTCTGGATCAGAAGCACAAGAACGACCAGACTGGAAAACAGTCTGAAATTGTAATGTTGTCCTTGGGAATCTGGAAGTGGCTCTTTTCTTCATGCTCATTATCAGTGCTGCCTTAAGAAAAGTACTTTTTATCAAAGAATTGTCTTGTTACAGATTCCTTCAAAAAGATTGGAGGGAGGAGAGAGATGAATTAAACTGAAAAACTATCAGGGATTTTTCTGATAATGTGACAGAAATCAAATTATATACAAACAGCTCCAGCCTAGTGCACAGAAATCTTCAGAGTGACATTGCTTAAAGGTTTTTACTCTGTCACAAATGGAAACTTTACAAGTGTGAGGTTTTTTCTATTTTTAAGTGAAAGAATTTCACTAAACTGAAAACAAAACTGGATTTCTGAAACCAATTTTTCTTCTCATTTATATATCTGAATTGAGATTTAATTGTCACCTGCAAGTGTGAGACTAAATGCATAAGCATCTATTCTATACTTGAAAATGAAATCACTACTTTGTATTCTTGATGCTTTCTGCTTCTGCAGAGTTAAAAAGAATTAGGCAATGACGGGAAATTGCGTATTTCAAAGAATTAACATGGATCTGTGCTGCTGCCCTCAGTGCTATTTGAGCCAAATCCTGGTCCTGCTGAAAGCAATAGCAAAACAGTCTCCTTTTCTTGCACTTCAGCCCTCTGAACACTGGAAAAAATAATAATTGTACAGAGGCAATTGTCTGGACTAGATCTCTGCATGTCTAGATACAAGGTGGCAACAGGAAAACAAAGTTGGATGGTAGAAGCTAGCATCCAGTATGCTACTGATTGAGAAGGGAGGGCTGTGTACCTCATTTTGCTAACTTGATCAGCAGCCTCCTTTAAGTCTCTTTTGCTAGGAAGCACTGACAACACTGATCAAAGATCTTTGCAAATGAGCATCTCTCAACTCACCTTCCAAATATTCTGTTACTTGGTTTGAAAACATCCCCAATTTAAACAGTTCAAAACCTCAATCTTTGTTCTTTCCAGCAATTTCTATGTTTCCACTTACATTTCTGCACCTGCAGAATCTTGACAATTTAAAGAAAGAAGGAAGGAAGGTCATCTAATTTATTGTTTCTGTTCAAAAAAGTCAGGAACCAGACCTAGCACGTGGAGTAGTAGTGCAGGAGGGCAAGGTAAAAAACACTATGGAGAATGAGATTTTAACTAGAAAATTATATTTGCCTTCATTATCTGCTGCAGTCTTCAAGTTCTAGCCAGAGGTGTGGAAAAACCTCATTTATGTTCCCCTCTTTAAGCTGCTTGAATGGGAAACAGCTTGAGCTAAATTCAGTGTGACATTCCCATCAGCCTACAGCACTCCAGCCACGCAGAGCTACAGTGAGCACTCCTCTCGGCTTCCTTGGACCACACTTAGGATGACAAATGCCCCTGTAGGGATAAATTCTGCAACCAGGCTTCACTGTGACTGAATCTAAGAATATGCTAACTATAATGGAGGCAGCTGAATGTTACAGCACTCTGCACTGCTATAATAGTGTTGGGTATTCTACTGTTCTCTTAGTGGGAGATGTAGGCTTTAATGTAGATTGTGATGCAGTGTTTTGGTCATCTTTATACATCTTTTTTGAAAGTATTAATAAAAGTGAGTATTCCTTTTTACAGTAGCTTGCAGTACTCATTGAAAATCATTTGTGTTTTTCTCTCTGGGAAACTGGGAAACCGCTGCTGAACATGACGACAAGCTGAGGGTTCTCCTGTTCCGTGGTAATGGCAAGCAGTGTGCAAGGGAGACAGCGCAGTCCTGCTGGCAGTCAGCAGTACAGTGGTCTGGAAACAGAGAATAATGCTTTCTGAACAGGCTGTGGGATCTTGCAAAGCCAACTGGTAAACTGTGCATCCACAGGTAGAAGGTATAAAAGTGCTGTCTGAAGCTGCCTGCTGATAACAGAAAAAAATCATAGACTCATAGAATGCTTGGGTTGGAAGGGACCCCAAGTCCATCATCCAATCACCAAGTTCCAACCCACTTGGGGCTTTTTGCATTTACAAGTTTTTAAATTAATCAAAGGCTGGACGCTCTTGTGTAACAGAGCTCATGGAAAAGACTTCCATCGGTTGCGTGCCTTATGTGCAGAGGACAGAATTCACTGAAAAAAATCAAATCTGCATTCCAAAATGTTGGAGGATGAGAAGAATGCTTATCTAGTCTCTTTGTGCCCAAATTCTTTTTGTTAGACCTGAAACCTTGCTAAAATGCTAAGGCTTGTTTGATGATGGCAATCGGATGTACTTGTAATCTGATCACTTTCCCCATCGTTTAAAACTAAAGTTGAACTGCTCTGAAAAGTCAGAAATCTTGATCTTCAGTTTAGAATCTCCAAGGTGAATTACTTGGTGGAAACTGTATTCCTTAATCTGTGAGTCACACAGCATAAACCCACTGCAGAGAGCGATTACCAAGCAGCAGATGCTGTAGAACCCACAATGACAAACTAAACCATGTCCTTAAAATGGCATACGTGTGACCCTGAATAATTGGTGTAAGCTATTTCTGAACAGTATTAAAGTCACAACTATACAACCAGCAGACATGCTGCCTTTGGTAGCAAAATCCAGTATTCCTCGTGTTAGTCCCAAATGGGCACACAAACACAAACTTAACAAGTCTTTAGACTTGTCTGTTCTTTACACAGGTGCCTACGTGAAAATTCAGAAACATTCTTGATACATCAACTTGGTTTAGCAACTGCACTGTTATGAAAACTCAACCTTGGAAGATATGTAGTAGGACAAAACCAGCATAATAGCTTCTTTTTTTTTCCCCTATACATTTTCCTTGCAGAAGGACTTTCTGTATGCTGGCCATCTCAGTAATCAGGAACTGCTTTTAGCATGAAAAGCATTTTCATGTTATTTTCTGTTCAAATGGAAAAAGAACCACTCCAACAAATGACTCCTTACTCTTTCATGGAAAAGGTCAATCTTTATTGTATTGCTTTCAGATCTGTACATAGGAACATGAACTTAATCTGCAAATTATCTTGTGTTAGATAATGAATCCACCTAACAAAAGTCAGTCCTGATCTGTTTCAAAGCTTGCAATTTAAACAAAGTCTCTTACTAGTGCACTTCTTGTCATAATACTGCCCTGAACAGAACCCTGCGGCACTCCTGATGTGTTCCCCTGAGAAAGCACAGATGTGGAGCTATTGGCTGGTAGAGTTTTCAATGTGTGAATGCAAAACTTGCTTAAGCAGCATGTACAGTGTGTCCATTCAGGTGAAATGGTATTTATTGAAAAGTTTATCAAATCTGAGTAATATGTTGATTTTCTTTGTAAGAGAACATAGCTTATATTATTTGTTCACAGAGTCCATCCCCGAATTACCTATGGAAGCCCAGTACTGTACATGAATCACAGCAGGTAGTGCACACTCAAGAGGCAATGGTCATGAGGAAAAAGTCACAGCTGACAAGGTCTGATAACAACTCTTCTCATTGTCCCCTTGTCCTTCTTTTCACCTCTACACTTCAGAGTACAGTTTCTTTCCATAACTTGATCCATTAACCTGGTCATAATCCATTTCAGGTGTTCAATGAATCTGTTTAAAAAAGAACACATAACAAATACATAGTAACCCTCCAGACCCACACTGAACAGAGAAGCCTGTGTATGTTAGATACAGCACCATACCATGTTTCTTTCAAAAGTAAATCAATCAATCAATCAACTGTTTGAGGTGCTCAGGTGCTGCACTGACAGCAAAGAACTCCAGGAGGACCTCATAACACTGAGTGGGCAAAAAAAGGCAGGTGACCTTTGATGATGTATAATCCAATTAGAGAGAAAAAATCAAGACCTGCCTATGTGACATAGGTTGGAGCTGACAACTACAGCCAGGCATCACCACCACCAACGCCCTGAGCTCAGTATCTCAGCCGTGGCACACAAAAAAGCCAAGAAAACTTTGGACATCATCATGAAGGGCACTGAGAAGATGGTGAGTACCATAAAAGCCACTGTGTATGAGTACTATGTGCACATATGGTTCCCATATCTCAAGAAGACCAAAGTGTAGCAAAGAGGGTTAGACAAGAAAGACTAAACTGCAAAGATCCAGGGGAAGGACCAGCTCATTTCAGGTTTAAGGGGCTGGGAGAAGGAACTGGAAAGCAGCAGCTACAGGGCCGGGCAGCACCATGCCCTCTAACATCTCTAGTTCTTCCACTGGGGATGCGGAAAGCGCAAAAGGAGCACTGCAGATTTTGGCCAAGTTTATGTGTGCTCCCAAATGGCATCGCCTGCCACAGCTGGAGCCAGAATGCAGGCAGGGTGGTCCTGGTATGACTTGTCCCCATGTTACTCTGTGCCTCTTAGCAGATGCAAAGCCAGGAGTGAGAAGCTCTTCTGTGGTCAGTAAGGTTCTTTTCTCAAATGCTTAACACTACAGTACCCTGCTAACAGCAATATGCTCATATCATGACTCTCAAAGCAAGGGGAACAGCAGTTCTAAAAGGTTACAAATGTGATGTTATCTGAACAAACACAGTGGTAGTTCTGAGAGATGGTTGTTCTGCGTTGCAGATCGAATCCTCAGCTGACTTAAAAACAGCACAGCAAAACGTGCTGGGCTTCCAAAGCAAAGCATAAAGCTGTCCAACTCGTGTTTCAAACGTGTCTGCAGGGCTGCTAGACCAGGACGGTAATTTGTGGAGGCAGATGTGATACAATTGACCAGGATATTCAATCTTGTATTTCTGTTCTGTCCTTCAAATTTTATGTGAACCTAATCCTTAACAGAAAACCAAAAAAAGCCCCTAAAAATCAAAAGATAACAGATGTTTTTCAGATCTCAGAAGCAGTCATCCAACAGCCTGAACATACCTGCCAGCATTCAATAGCACAGCTGGTAGAGCGCAACTTCAGCATTAGAAGAGGAAACAGTAGAAGCAGCCACCGGTATTTCTGTTAATTCTATGTGTGAAGTCATTGCTCATGATGGGCTGGGCCAAAGGAAATGCAGTGACCCTGCTCTGCATCCAGGCATTGTCTGCCTTGTTTCCAGCTTTCTAAAAGTATTTCAGATACTGCGGCCTATTTGGGCCACGCTGCCTGTGTGAGCCTCAGGTCCTTGTTCCTGGCCCTTCAAAGAAAAGCCTTAAGTCACTCACCTGAACTAGAGCTTTACACAGCAATGCATCACCTGGTGCATGTCATTATTATCCATTGCATCCTTGTCATATATGGCTTCCGTTAGCCCTTGCTTTTTTTATTATGGGTAGATGGACCATACAATTCTCACAGAGGAATACAGAACAGAGCATGAGGAGCCACAACCCACTGTGACAAAGGGGAAAATTGCTGTTTAGCAGTTGGGAAACAACACCCTTGACAGGATGAAGGGAAGGTCAGCAGTGCATTCCCCATAGCAGGTCACAAAACTGATGCTTCTCAGCACCCATCTCCAGAGCAAGATGGAGTTGGTTATTCATGGCAAAAGAAAACCCTGAGCAGTGGGACCCCTCCATTTCCACTGATCCTATTCCACACCAACCCCCCACCAGGCCTAGAAAAGGAAGATTTTTAAACCCCTTAATGCCAGTAGATGGTGGAGTTTCTACTGATGCTTATGGAATTCTTGACAGAATGCTCAACTTCTTTAAAAAAAAAAAAATCTTAGAAGAAATGCATACTATTCTACATGAAGAGAATGTAGTTTGTAAATTGAATGAGTAAATTTGTGTCAGATTTTCCTCAGTAGTTTCAAGTGCCTGAAAGAGACACTGATCCTCCTGTATTCAGGTCTCAGCTGCACAACTTTTCCAGAAGTTTCCAGTTTGATTCTGTGATTGATTTCAACTCCTGCTAGTTCTTTTTAATGAACACTGATCTCATACCAGGCTTGAAAAGTAGACAGGATATATTTTAGAAACACTTCTTGTTCCCAGAGAACATCCCTCAAACTTTTCACCTGTTTTTTCCCAACTTTGTGGCCAGACAAAACACCCGGGCTCTATAACTGGGAAGAGAAAGACCATCTGAAAACTTCCCTGAAGAAATGGAAAGCGTTAGCCATTTCTGTGTACCACTTATATATCAGTATATAAATGAGCATCATTACGAGGGAAGAAAGACAAAGAGTTGGACGGATCAAATATGCATCCTACATTTCTCTAAACAAATTATTCTTCTATTTTAGGATTGCAAGTGTCATCTGAAACAAAGTGCTGTTTTGCCCATTTTCAAGAGAAAACAAACAAAAAGAATCAAACTGAATTCAACCTGCCAGGCTGTGGTTAGCAGCACTGAATGGACAGTTCATTATTCAGCCACAATTCTTTCTTCTTTCCATCTAGGACAGAACTCTTGCAAAGAACTGCTGGAATACGAGTCTCTTTATAGCAGAGCTGCCAGGTGAGTTTGAGCATTCAGCTTCTAGTAATTTTAGTAACACCTAAGAGTTCACAGCTGTGAAAATTCCAGCTGTTGCTCTTAATGCTGTCATTATTACAACTGATAACAAAATAGACAAATCCATCTCATGGAGTCAATGATTCACCTTTTTCTTTGGCAAGGAGATTCCTACAAATAAGGGAAGAGCAGAGTGAAAAATGAGAAGGTTAAAAAACGTAACAGATCACTCTGCTCATTATTTGTATGATTGCAAGTCAGGGAAAGTTCTAATGCATTTATGTGCATCCTGGCATGGCTGGTGGTAACATTCTTCTGATCTGCTCCTTCATGAGGCATCTCAGTTTCTGAGATGGAAGAGAAGCACAGCTGAGGTAAGCTCACAGAGGCAGACCCAGGCAGGAGCCCAGCATGCTTATTTCCTTCCCCACTGGACCACACTGCCTTCTGCAGACGCTGAGCCCTCAGCTCTAATTGGCACTACTTTGATAAGCTGATGAGTGCAGCTATTTCTTTGACTGATTCAGGATTTGCATGCTGGCAAAGAGCAGAAGTGCTGAGTCACAAGCTTTTGGGTGCTGGATTCTGCTCATCAAAGACATACACTGTAATTCATTTTGTAAAAAAAAAAAAACAAAACCATAGGTAACACTTGTACAGTAAAATTATGTAAATCGAATATTTCCAATTTGGTTTCATTATCAATTGCTCATTATCCTTTGATTAAAGTACTTTGCGATGAGTCACATCTGATTTTAAGGCAGTGCAAAGACAACAATCACATCACCTTATTTCAGGGAACTTGAAATATGATGAAGAATCTGGCATACCCGAGGGAAAAGGGTAGGTGCCGTGAGTCAGCTCAATCCTACTCAGCTCACACAGATGGTTTTCTCCATTTGAGAAGGACAGGAGTCTTCTTAGTTGTCTATCTTCAGCCTCTGCCACCAATTATGGTTAGAAACCTGAATGTAATTCTGCTCCTAGTGAGTTTATTCAGCTGAGGTTTTCAGTGCAAGAGAGAACACAGCTCTTCTGATCCACACGCTCCTTTCCTTTGAAATAAGCCATTCCACATTGCGTAGAACGGCCTCTTGGGATTTCCTCCCTGTTCATGCATGCCACTCATCTCCTGCGTGGCAGGCAACACTTTTTAAATGCAAGGAGCACACCTGCAAGGCTTTACCTGAGGCTAATCACTGCTGTTTAGTTGTTCTCAGTAATCGCTGGTGAGTCACATGAAGAGCACTCCTTTTATTCTTAGTGCAAAGAGCCATACTCCTACCATTTCATCCCTGCTGCTAAAGCTGAGACCGCTCTTTCTGCATCATGTGCTGAATCCTCAGCATGCCAGCTCGAAGTGAGCATTCCTGTGCCCATGGCTTCACATGGGGAGCTGGTGGTGACAAATACCACAGCACTGTGAAGAACTCCGTAAGCAGGATCTGAGCACAAATCCCTCCTCGTGGTGATGTGCTGAGCCTTGGCCTGCTAGCTGAATAACCAGGCAATTTACAGCCCAGTTGCTGAACGTATAATTAAATATATAAATAGATGAAGCACAGTAATGGTGTATGCTTTGCTCTCCGGTAATTGGAGATTTGTAATTTGGTTCTCAGAAGAAACAACAATGTAAGACAACAGCTGCCAAACGACAGGGCTGAGCAGGCTGGTGCTTACCTCTGAGCATGGTGACATCACTGCCATTTCTACACATGGAGCTGATGTTGTCTTACAGTGAGAGTAGCAAGTACTTTGAAGAGCTTCTTAACCTACTAACATAAAGGGAAATGTTAAGAAGCCCATTTACTGACATTGAATAGATTGGTGCTCACGTCCTGTGCCCTATGAAACGACGTGCTCGTGTAGTAGGAAGAATCCCCTGCATGAACTGTGGCTGTTATTCTCCTTGGGTCTCCCTGAAAACCAGATGAATTCACTGTAACAAATCCTGGCCAGCAGAAAAGTCCTCTACCATCACCTAATACTAGCATTAAAAAATGTTTATTTTCTGAATCCTTGTACTAGATGATGTTGGAGTAATAAGATCAGCAGTTTGGGGGAAGGTGTTTCTGAGGAGCAAAGGATTAGAACTTTCTGCACGAAAGATTTTGCTTAGATTTCCATTAATTATTATGAATTTCTTCCCTGGAAGACAGGAGATACCGGTCTGAAGGATACTTACAAAGGCTTTCGATTCCTATCCCTGTATTCAAACCTCATGTGTTGTTTGCCCAACTGAAAAGGGCCGAGGACAGCCATAGCAGCAGCACAGTGTGGGCAGTTCAGCTCTGCTACAGATCTGTGCCAGCAGAAGGGATTCTAACCCAGTCGCTTGGGATGCACCAAACAGACATGCCAGCATACACAAAATGCATGTATGCTTTTATCTGTTGTAACTGCAGTGGGATTTCTCCAGAAGCAAGAGATATGTGTGTCTCTAATGCCACACACACACTTCTGTGCTCCCACATGGTGTTGTCCAAGCCTTGCACACCTGTGTTGGTGCTATCCATATTCATCCAACACCAATTCCCATTTCATATTTTCTAGGCTATTGACCAAAACCTGACACTATTGCTTTATACGGAACCTTAATGGAAATATTTAGAGTTTCAGTATGAAGGACTGCATTGTAGAGATGTGGTTTTGCTTTTATGGTGGTTTTTTTTCATGTGGAAGACACTAAAATAGTACTGTGACAGGCAGCACTTGTGCGATGTGTTCACCAAGGTCATCTCTGTGACCTTACAGCAGAAACTCCTACCTGCATGTTTTCAAGTGTAACTTCAAAGGCATCCTAACTGGATTTTCAAACTCACAGGCGATATTTTGCTTAAACATTCTGTTGGCAGATCTGGAAACACTTAAACTGTGAACATTTTTGTTAACATCCATTTGGCACAGAACATCCTCGCTGGAAATAGTGGTTCTCTCCCCAACTGCAGTTCAGCATTACAAAACACCGGATCCTTACATTTCCAACGCGGTAGCGTCACCGACAGCTACAGCGGTAACAAAACGTTTGATCAAACAGACCCTCGCACTCCGATCGCAGCGACGATCCCGGGCAAAGGCTCGCAGCACCTCCGAGCCTCGGGAAGCGCGGCTGCTGACCGCCGCAGCCCCGACGCCGCGCTGTCAGCCGCAGCCGCCCGGAGAGCAGCTCGGCCCTCCCCTCGCCCCGCCGGTCCCTCCCCGCCGCTCCGAAGGCTGCGGGTCCCCGGGAGCCGCCGGCTCTCACTTACTTCTGCGGCCCCTCCGCGGCCCAGCCCGGCGGCGGCGGCGCGTTCCGGGGGCGCCGAGAGGGGAGAGGCGGCGCGGGCATCCCGGCGCCGCGCCGGTACGGCGTCACTCCAAGTAGGTGTCAAATACGTCCAGCTCGCCGTCGGTCTCGTACGGCGCCGAGCCGGGGTCGGAGAGCACCCCCAGGTCCACCAGCGCCTGGTCCATGTCCTCGGGCAGGAAGACGATGCCCACGTTGAGGACGATGTACTCCATCAGGAAGGCGTAGTACAAGATCAGCACGTTGACGAAGAACAAGCCCACGTAGAACATATAGGGCAGCACCAGCAGCGCGTGAAAGGCCCAGGACTCCAGCGAATCCAGCCGTGCCGATACCGCGGCGGGCATGCAGCCGGGGCGGCGGGCCGCGGCCCCCGGGGCGCAGAGCGGGGACGGAGCCGGAGCAGACCTGCGGGGAGAGGCGGCGCCGCCGAGCTGCGGGCGGACCGCGCGACTCCGGCTGCCGCAGCCCCGCCGCCGGCAGAAGGCGCTCCTCGGAGCACCGGCCGCCGCAGCGCCGCCGCCTCCCGGCCTCCTCCCGCCCGCGAACTCGGCGGAACGACCCCGCGGGCGCGTTGCCGCATCGGGGCCGAGCGCCTGCCCCGCGCGCTCCGCTCCGCCCCGCCGCGCCGTTCACCTCCGCGTTCCCCCCGCGCCGCTGCTGGTGGCCGCGCCTGGGGGCGGTCAGCGCTGATCGGGCCGGGTTGAAGGGGGCGTCCGTCAGCGCCTCCGCAGCGGGGCTTGGCCGTGCGGGGCTGGCTGTCCCATAGGGCTGTTCCATAGGTTGTCCCGTGGGGCTGCGGGGCTCCCTGCGGCATTCTCTCACCGCGCGCAGAAGCGAAAGTGCGACTGTAAACTTTTCTTTTTCTTTTTTTCTTTTTCTTTCTTTTTTTTTTTTTACATCGGTTTGATCTCGGCTCCAGCTCCAGCTGCCCGAAGCTGCTCTCCACTCGAGGTCTGCCCTCTCCCCGCTCCGCAGCCGCCCGCCTGAGGCGACGCGCGGTGTCGGAGCCCGCACGCAGCGCCCCGTTATGGAAGGAAGCAGCGCGCACCTCAGCGCCGGTGCTGCCTTTGCTTGTTTACATTCTTCCCACCTACGGAGCTCTGAGGGCTGGCCCGCAGCACTCCCCGTCGTGCCCGGCAAGCAGCCGGCGCTGCGCTGCTCAGCTTCCCGCAGCCCGGCACGAAGGCGCGCGCTGCCCACGGTCTAAGCAGCAGACAGAGCGGCGCGATGCCCGCCGGGAGCTGCAGTCCGCTCGGAGGAGCGATTCCCGGCGTGCCCCGGCCGCGCATGCGCACGGCTGCGGGTGCGCGCCGGCGGCCGTCAGCGACGTTGAGCTCCGTCCGCGGCCTGCGCCGGCCGTCCCCACGGGGCCATGAGGAGATAAGACCCCGCCGTGCTCCGCCAGTATGTTCGGCCGCTCCCGGAGCTGGGTGGGCGGCGGGCACGGGAAGGCCGCCCGCAGCATTCACTCCTTGGATCACCTCAAGTGAGCGGGAGCCGTGAGGGGGGCGGCGGGCGGGAGCGGCGCTGCAGCTGTGGGGGCGGCGCGGGGCGGGTCAGAGCCGTGCCGGGTTGTGCTGTGCCACAGTGTGCTGTGCCATAGTTTGCTGTGCCAGGCTGTGCCGTGTCCTGCCATGCCATACTGTGCTATTCTGTGCTGAGGGGCTGCGCTCCTGGCGCTTTCCCGCCCGTGCCCTTCATGGCGGCTTCCCCCGGCTGGGTTCCACGCGGTACCGCGGTGTTTTGTCCCGCAGTTCGGCTCCGCGTTGGGCCGTGTCTGCTCGCCCCGAAACACCCCCGGGAGAGACGCGCTTCCGTGAGGTGGTGCCGCGCTCGTGGCCGTGGCTTTTAATTTGTAACAACGTCGCGGGTTCGTCCTAGGAAATAGAGCATAAGAGGCGGTAAAAACAAGAAATGTCGCGTTCCTTCGGGCCGGGGCTGCGGGGGGAACGCAGCGCTGCGCTGCCCTCCGTGCTGCTGGGCGCACAGCTGGTAACGCGGCTGCACGTCGCAGCATCTCCTCCGAGCGCTGCGCTGGTGGAGGTGGGTCAATGAGGTCCTGCTTCTCTTTCTGCTGAGCAGCAAAGGATGAGCGGGGAGAGAAGCATTTTCTAAATGAAGTTGCTGCCAATACGCATCTCACTGAGAAACGTAAAGCTGTTGGTTTTTGATGGTTGGTCTGATTGTAAGAGCTTGAATGGGGTCTGACAGCGCTGATCAGGGTGCACTCACACAAGATTTGGATCACGCAGTTGCAGTATCACAGTGGTCTATGGCTTCTGGTCCTTACTTAAACTAGAGAAACGTTTTAAAGCAGCAAGACTGAACTGCAGTGTGTGACAGGAAAATCAAGTACATAAAACAAACCTGAGCGCAGTGAGTGAGGCAGCAGTACTGCAGGAAGTGATCCGGGAGGGTCAGGCTGAGCACATTGTGTGCAGCATTGCAGGCAAGAGCCATGCTCAGATACAGACACAGCAGTGTTCTCATTATGAGGGCTGGTCCTTGGGTGCTACTCAGTGCTTGAGGAGCGGTAGGTCTGCCTGGGTTTGGTATTATGCTTGCAGACAAAGCAAGGATGTTGATGCAAGTCAAAAATTCAGAGAAACTGAGTTCAAGTTTAGCAGGAAAAGGTGAGATGAATGTTTGAGGCAAGAAAAACGTAATCTTTTGTTTCCTTGTAGCCACAGAGCGTAGAGCAAGTGATATCCTGCTGGGTTGTGCAGCAAAGAATTGGGCTGTGCTTGTTATGTTTGATTTCTTACCTGAGAGCTGAAGTACATGTTTCCCTGCTAAAGCTCCAGATTGGGTTGGGTTTGTTGTGTGTGTAAGGGACCTAGCAGTCAGCCTTGGTGAGCTCACTGTGAGCTGTCTATGTTCCTGCCTTTTCAACTCTGGCAGAATCCCACCTTGTGTTCCTCGTCAGTGAGCTGTGCAGAACTCGCTGACCTTGCTGTTAAAAATTAGTTCAGTGTATAGGAAGTATATTATGGTAAGTTATGAGAGCAGAATTAACCAGGGCTGTCCCTTAGGGAATACTTTTTTTTTTTTTTTTTTTTTTCAATGTTCATAAAGTTAGAGTTCTACCGAAATTGTAAACAATATGCCTGTCTAGTGGGAGAGTTACTGCTTTTCATCAGTAGGTGTTGGATCTGAAACTTCTGTTTCTATTTGTTTGCATACGGTTTGAGATTTGCTTGAGCAGATTGGCTAAAGACACATTGTGGTTGTTTGCATGTCAGTTTCCTTGCTAAGTGGCAATAGTTGTAGTTTAATCTGCTTTTCCAGTGGTGAAACAAGATTGCACAGCACAATCTCACAGCCTCTCTCACTGTCAGTGCTTCTGATGGATTTTTTTGGGCCCTTGGCACTTTCGTACCCTTTGGTTAGCAGGGCTGTTAAGGGTGTCAGAGGAGGAGGCCTTTGCTCGCTGCACGCTGGTATTGGCTGCTTGTGACAGTGGTCTGAAAAGGCCATTGCTTCACTTGCCCTGAGCTCTGAAATTGGGCTGGAATCTGCTCCTTAAGGCTGTGTTTTTGAAGAGTTTGATTGAACGTGTCCTGTGCTTTCCAGCTTTGGTGGAAGGCCTCAGAACTTAAGCATGATATCATTGTTTCTAAATGCAAAGAACAACATTTCCTACCTGTTGCCTTTTGTTACCTTCAGTGTATTTCCACTTGTTGCTGCTATGCTTGGTATTTTCATTGTTCCCTGATAATACAAAGATTTTTTTGCCATTAGAGCTGCATGCTGAGCATTTCTCCTGGCTTGGTCACATGCCCTGCCCATAGCCCTGTGCCTGGAGGCTTCCTTCACAGCTGATTCATTTCCTGAAGCAGTGTCCATGCTATACGTTGTTTCCTCTGTGTGAACAATAAATCATCCCATAGCTCCAGGCAGCATGAAGAAGCAAATATAGTTAAATCTGTTGGTGTTTTTTTCAATTTCTGAACACCTGACTTCTTAAACTCTCATGTGTTAATGTATTTTTAAAGTAATAAATAGAAAAGCCATTAAAACTTCCTGTATCTGTGAGTTATGTGGTATGCTATTGCCCTGAATGTGGTCTCTAAACAGAAGAGCGTTCAGACTCTTACCTGTCTCACTAAGCTGCTGGCAGAACTCTTCATCCCTCTGATGCCATCGTCGGCAGTGCTGTGACAATTCCTGGTGGGTTTTTGCTTCATCTCCAGTCCCCAGCAGAGCAACAGATCTGTCACGGTTCCTCTGAGGGTTTAGCATTTCAGAGCACAGACTTGGCTTATCTAAAATCAATGTGTAAAGATTGACTTTAAGTATTTCTGAGAAAGAAAATCTGCTTCTGTGCAGTACCTTTATTGTCATGGTGTGGGAAATTGCACGTCCAGTAGGAGGAACAAGCTTGTTTGCACTTTAGCTCTTTCATTCCAAGAAATGCATAACAGAGTAGTTTGGAAGTGAGGGCTGTGTTATATCTCTGTGTGCCAGCGTGTCAACAAACCATAGGGTCTGTAGTGACATTATAGCAAGTAAATTAATTTGGCATAGTGTATTCCTGGCTATCAAACCAGTCTGGCTTCTTCAGAATGCTCCGCGTTCCATCCCCACAGGAGGTTCAAGAATGGTACATAAATCTTACCGTCATTTGTGCTGACCACAGCTCTGCTGCTGGATGGAACTTCATTCCCAAATTTGCAATAATGTGACTTATTGCTGTGAAATATCATCACAGTTATGAGCATTTGACTTCAAGTAGGAAGGCTGAAGTAGCTGTAGTGTCATTACTTTCAGAATTACACTGTCAGGCTTAAACTCTCCCATTTTCACTGTGTCCCGTCCCACTGTCGGTATCCACAGCAGGAACCTTAAACTGTGATCCATACATTAACTGCAGAGGATTTGTAGGCATTCATTGCTGTTCTGTTCTGGAGCAGCACACAACCCAGAGTTATCACTGCAGGAGATGTTTGAGTCAACTCAACCTTGAATGGTTTCAACCTGAGCAGTTTGCACCCCTGCGTTCAGAAAACAAATATTGATTTATGAGAGGAAAGACAAGCCTGTGATCCGTATGTAGTAATTGAAGCTCTTGCAGCTTTAAGGTGATGTGAAATTTCTCTAATTAGTTTACATTTTTCTTATACAATGTGTGTGTGTCAAACTCTTACGTTCTTCTTTTTTCATTATTATTATTGTATAAATGCATTTTAAAAACAACAGAGGAAGGAAAGGAGTATTTCTTGTGCTTTTGTGCCTTTGTACGAAGAAGGGAAGTGATCTTTGGTGTGTGTTACTCTGAAGAAGACAGACAGACTTGCTTGACCACGTAAAATTCAGAAACATAACACAAGCTTTTCAAACTTCATGTAGTTTTTTGCTACCTGTTGTAATCTGTACTTTTATTTGTAGACTTCATTAGACAGCCTTCAAACCTTGACTCGTAAGATAATAAAGCTGTAATTTGCCACCTTTC